TTCCGTATAAAGAACACTGAAAAAAGTCACTACCAAACTAACTTGCGGTTCACTATTTGAAATTTGAATTAAACTGAACTCTGTAGCAGATATGATTTTACTAAAAATATTCTTGTCTCCCAAAAATCTGTTCTGGTCATATCAGCAATTTAAAAATAAAATATTATAAAAATTTGCCTACCTAAGTTTTCCCCGTCCCGTGCCTTCGGCACTGGACGGTCGAAACCTGATCCCTTATTTTATGACTCCGTAAGCTCAGTCAAATACTGATATAATCTTATCCCAAGTATGAATATGTCTACCGACAAAAGATAATGCATTATGATTTGTCATAACAGCGATATCCGATGTTTTCATTGGCCGTTAGTCCACGTGGACTTATTATAAGTTCGATGAAAACTTAATTGGTTGATTGTTCATATCTTGTCCATATTTTAAAAGATTAAACCAGGTACGTCTGAATGTTAATATCGAGTGGAATCTGGAAACTTTGTATTATTATACGTCTGAGTCATTGATAATTTTACAGACTCCTGGTAGAGTACCTTTTTGTTGAATGATTTAAAAGTGAACCCTCCCCCAAAAAATTGCAGGCAGAAGTTGTAAGGGCAATAAAACAGAGCAAATGGAGAAAAGCATCAGGCCCAGACGACATATTCATAGAGGTTCTAACAATGTTGAGTGAAGACAATTTAGACGCCTTGGTAGATCTTTTTAATTTTGGGTCCGGTCAAATACCACAGGACTGACTTCAATCAACCTTTATACCAATACCAAAAAAGCCAAATGCTAATAGGTGCGACCAATTCCGAATGATCAGCTTATTGAGCCAGGTCCTAAAACTCTTCTTAAAGATAAATCACACAAAAATATACAACAGATGTGAAAGAGACATTAGCCCCACACACTTCGGTTTCAGACAAGGAAAGAGTTATTTGTAAGAGTTAGAAACAAACGCTACATGTTATTAATATTTCAAGATTGCCTCATTCTTCATTTTCGTAAACAAATCATCTCAATATCTTTATTTTCAAAAAAGAAAAGTAAGTTAAAAGAATTACGTGATTTTCTACTCTCCAAAATTAACGCACTGCCTCAACTCTACCATAATTTTTAAGCTATTTTTCTTTTGAATCCTTATTTGGATTTCTATGATTTTTTTTTTCGCACTGCAAATCTATTTCTAAGTAATTACTGTGTTAATGTTTTCTGGGAAATTTCAACGTTTCACCCATATACGGGGTTTAAAAATAAATTTTAATTTTCACCTTATTTTGCAACATCCTGTGGAATTTATTACAAGCAAACGTCTTATTAATATTTCGAAAAAACTTTATTTTTTTTCAACATTTTCGTAAAAAATTCATTGATTTCTTTATTATCAAAAAGAAAAGTACTTTCAAAGCATAACATGATTTTATCGAATTGTAATACTCATTAATGGAAGCAGTTAGTTGGCTATGAAAAATCAAACAATTTGACAGGACAGTCAATATTGTTTACATTTCAAAAAATTGTTTTGCTATTTTGCGTATGTTATATAGTTGACATGGACCGTATTTCAAGAAATGATTGATGTAGGGTTAAGATATCGTGAAATAGGCTTGAGGTTAGGAGTATCTCATACTACAATTGTAACCTCGGAAATCTTTTTTGGATGGTGCTAGAAAGATAACCAATGGAGACACTGCGGACGGCAGCCAGATGGTTGGTGGAGAGCGAGTCGTGGGTTCGAAACTAGCTTTTTGAACCGGGATTGGGTCCAACGGACGAAATAAGTAAAGATAGGATAAGAGATATTAGAAAAGATATAGAAATAAACAAAAAGATAGATGGGTAAAATTACCAAAGATAAGAGAAGATAGAAACAGGGCGCCACTCAATTTTTTGGGGTTAAGGAGAAAATTAAGAAACCTTAGAAAAGAAAAGAGATAAGGAAAGATATCCTTCAGAGATCAGAGATCAAACCCAAGGAAGGATACCAACAGTTAATTATCAAATAAATTTGGTCAACACAATATATAAACAAATAATAAATATATTAGGTATTACACTTACTTACCTACGACACTTAATCAGCCTGATCTTTCTACTGGTCAAAGGTATAGTAATAAATTAATATACTAAGCAAGTATTTAGAGCTACTATTTTATCAGGGAACTTGTTAGGAGCCGACAAATAAAATACATGCATAAAACATTAACAATATATTAAACACAAAATTATGATGCTGCTAAATGCAACACAAATAATAAAAATACACAACTATGAAATGGTGTTATATATGTATAAAATTAAGCAATAATATAATAAAAAATACCTTTACCAAGATATATAAGGCAATCATATACAAATATAGTTTGGCGTATCTCGAGATATTATAGGAAAGATAATGAGCAAAAATTATAGCAAATACAAAGGATAGCAAAAATTTCTTAACTCTAAATTTACAAAAAAAAACAAACAGGTTACAGAGTTGAAAACATTAACTATCTCGCACTATTAATTAATGCTAAACTGAGATGTTCATAGTTATTATTTATGGAAAGTTTTTGAATTGTTCTTTAAATTAAATATAAAAATCGGCAATCTACAGATGAAGATATGGATGAATGATGGGTGATACGTCCAGATAATGGCAGGTGGTATGATACCATACCATATTACTCGCCCAGATAATTTGCAGACAAAGATTATGGTAACTTACATAATTCCTGATGACGGCAGCTTAATTCACTGAATTTAATATACTGTACTGGTATTCAACACTGAATTTAATTAGGTACCATTAAACGTACTGTAGAACTATATATAACTTAATATAGTCTAAGTCAAGAAAACTGAAATATAGAGTGTATACACACTTAGAAAATAATTCACAAAGACGATAATTTCAGGCAAGCGACCACACTCAACGAGAGCCCCACCGAGAAGTCTCACGAGATAATCGACCTGTGCTCAACGAGAGCCCACCGAGAAGTAAGTTGGTTCCACTAAAAATTTCACCAACTATCCAAGAAAAAAGAAGAAGAAGGTATCTCCCCCACTTAAAATCATCGGACAGTTGTAGGTAATTCTGAGGAAGTAAAAATTCCGAAAGTTTTGAGTTACCGGTACCAACAATTGGACATGAGAAGCAGACAATACTTGGGATTAAGTTATTGTCAAAAGATACGGGCCTTCGGCGAAAATTATCAATTTATGTAAAAGAACCTGCATACTCAAAAGCATTAGATCTTTTCATACTGAGTATTAAGACGGAAAGGATTAACTACCTTTAGTAATTAGGGAAGTCCAGTTAGTAATTAAGTTAGTAATTTAGTAGATCCAATATTATTTTCTTATCGTAAACACGGGAATTCCTAATCATCGGCGTATCGCACGGGGGTAAAAGAAATTAAAAATAATTAATATTTTAATAATAAAAAAAAATGTTACACAATATCACGAGTCATTAAACGTTTTCGAGAAACAAACGACCATACGAGACGGCGTGGACAAGGAAGAGGAAGACTCACAACACCACGTCAAGATCAGTTTATCAGGCTTCGTGCTATAAGAGAACGTTTTCTCACAATGAGATATTTACAAATACAAGTGGCAAACGTTCATAATATTCAAATTAGTAGAAACACTATACAAAGGCGTCTCGCTGAACAAGATCTGCATATAAGAATACCAGTCAGAGCACCAGCTTTAAACGTAAATCATCGTAGAAGTAGATTACAATTTGCCAGAGAGCACCTTGACTGTAATATTAATGACTGGGGGCACGTGTTGTTCACTGATGAATCAAGATATAGCTTATATAGCTCAGATAGACGTATGAGAGTTATTCGACGGCCAAGAGAACGGTACGCACAGTGCAATATACGACCTATTACTTTATTCAATGGAGGATCTGTAATGGTTTGGGGAGGAATGTCTCATACAGCGCGAACGGAACTTGTTGCTTTACGAAGAGGTTCCTTAACAAATGAAAGGTATATTACAGACATTTTGTCTAACCATGTAGTTCCATTTGCTCCTTATATAGGAAATAATTTTCTTTTAATGCATGATAACGCTCGACCACATGTTGCACGTGTGGTCCGTGGATATTTGGACGAGGTTGGAATACAAACTGGCACCCTGCAGCCCTGATCTCAATCCCATAGAAAATTTGTGGGATATTATTGATCGTCAACTCAGGAGCCGACAACCACCACCTGTCTCTCTTGACGACATAGAAGTTATGGTAAGAGAAGTTTGGAATGCAATGGGTCAAGACCAAATACGCCGCTTGATTTTAAGTATGCCTCGTCGCTATGAAAAAGTAATTAGATGTAGAGGTGGAAATACTCGTTATTAAGTGTTGTTAGGAGAGGGAATTGTTAAAAATTATTTAGGTTATGTTTTCTTAGGCTTTATTTGTACTAAATGTCAATAAAGTTTATGTAAGTAATGTTTTCTTTGCTTTAAATGTTAATAAAAACTTGTTACATTTAAAATTCTGTACAATCTTTAATAATAGAGATATTAAGATAATTTTTAATCAATAATTTAATAATAATTTCAAATCTGTTTTAAAATATTAATAAAATGTAGCGTTTCTTTCTAATAAATTCCACAGGGTTTTGCAAATTACGATAAAAAAACACAACTTTATTTTTACACCCCGTATACGGATAAAACGTTGATATTTTTTAGAAGTCATTAAAAGAGTGATTTACTAGAAATAATCCTATAACATAAAAAAAAGACATCAAAATCCAATTATTTGTTCAGAAGAAAAATAGCTTGAAACTTATGGTACATTTAAGGTGGTGCGCTAATTGTGGGCAGTAGTGTATCTTTATATTTTTTTATTTTATTTATTTTATATTATATATATTTGTATTTTAACATTTTTTTAAATAAATGCTTTTTCTATCTTGGTAATTTTTCTTCCATATATAAAAGTTGTTTCAGGTTAAGGTAAAAAAATTGTCAATAATGTCGAATATAGCGTAAAAACTTACCCGTTAAAATATCAAGTTGCAGCTGCGTTAAAGTGTTTAGTGCGGTATGATACAGCGAACATATTAACACGATCCTGTGGACTTCGGGACTGCCCAAAGCTCTGTAGGATTTCTGAATCGTTGGTCTCGTACCTTTGTTCTCTAATACTTTTTTAAAAAAACTTGTTCCACCTACACTCACCTGGGTAGGGCTCATAATCTGCACTGGAGCTTCTGTATCAGCAACTAATATTGACAACGGATCACCTAAAAAAAGAGAGAAATTATTTAGCTTTCAATTCATTTATTTTGCAAACAATTGAGTATTTAAAAGAAAAGGCTAGTCATTCATTACATTAAAAGCAATGAAGAAAGCTTGATAGTTTGTAAAACCATAATTGTAGTGGAAAAGGGTTATTTTATGATGGTAACACTGCTCGCAGAGCATCTGAAGATCCAAAACTATTTTCTAAATGTCTTGGCCTTATACTACAGGGTTACGCAATTGAACTGTTACCTATTTAAACGACCATATTTTTTGTGTGAAATTATTTTTTTATTGATTCAAACAGGGATACTGACAAAGCCATCCCTCCAGATACTGACAAAGAATGTAGCGTAGAATCTTTAAAGTAATTTTAAACTGTTTTAGTGTAGTGTTTTGTACAATTTTATGTTATTATTAATGTTTCCACATTCTACGCTTGCCGGATAGTTTATATTTTGACGAAATGCCCCTGAAGATGCTATTTTAAGCGAAAGATTTAATTAACTTGTGCTCGATAATAGCCTTATTTTTCAAAGTTCATTTATTCGAGCATTCAACCTCATTTCAATAATTATTGAAATGATGATTTGAGTTAAGGGAATAGTTATCGGTGTATGGGAGTAAAAGGTCGATTCAGGGTAGTTTGGCGGTCGACACTAATTGGGGCTAGTCTTCATGTCTCTGGAAATCTCAAGGTCCTCATACAAGTCCAACCATAAAGTGTTCCTATCTTGGATGTTGTAAATTAATTTGATCCCATCAGGGATGTTAAAATGATGATTGTTGACTTTAAGGTGATGAGAAAAAGCTGATGTATTATCTCTTTTAGAGTGTTCTGCAGATCTAGTTGAAAATGACCAATAAGTCCTGTCACTGTAGGAGGCATCGCAATCAGAACAAGTCAGTCTGTAAACTCCACGATGGTTCATATAGTGTATTATATCCTTAGTATTTGTCAAGAAATGGTTAAGAGTATTTCCAACTTTAAAAGATATGTGTGTGTTTTCTGAAGAATTAATTATAATACGTGTGATCTTTTCAAATAATTTCTGAGTGTAATATGGTAAAGACCTGTAAATTGGGGTAGAAGAAGATTGATTAAAAGCAGAATTTTGAAGCAATCTAGATTCTCTTTTATGGATAAGTTTATCTATTATAAAATGATCATAACCATTGTTGTCAGCTATTTGTTTTATGACGTTGAGTTCTTTATTAAAGGAGTCAATTGACATAGGTATTGAATATAGTCTGTGGATGAAATTTCTGAAAGCAGCTAATTTATGTGTTAGAAGGTGATTGGAGGAAGAATGAATGACATGATCGGTTTGGGTGGGTTTGCGAAAGATACGAAAGTCAATTTGGGAAGATTATAATTCCATGGTAAGTTTGATATTTGGGTGGATTTGATTGATTTTAAGAAGTAGTTGTTGAACTGAGTCACAAAAATATATTATATAAGTAGTATTCAAGATGGCCGCTGTCGAAGACGTACGGCCAATTGATGGTGAAAACTTGGAAATAAATTTTAAATGCTGCACTAAAAAAGAGTGTAAAATAGTTGTGTGCAATATTGTTATAGTGTTTTTCACTCTAGCTGTGCAAAAAGATGTGGATTTGAAACATGTGAGAGAAATATCATAATATGCTGTGACAAAAAAGGCGGTGATACCGAAACAAACGAGATGTCAACTACAGAAGAATTATCCAAACTGAGATTAGAAAATGACCTCTTAAAAAGACTAATTATGGAAATGGAAGACAAAAATGTTGTATTAAAAGAAAACAATAATTTATTGCGCCAAAAAATGAGTTATCTAGAACAAAAAACCGCAAAAAAAACTGAATACGAAAGTGTAAATAAACAAGATCAGATAATGGATCACTCTGTTGATAAAAAAATTCTCAAGGTCAGTACCACCTCGTACACAAAATAGATCATTCACAGAAGTAGTAGCTCAAACGTCAAAAAGTTTAAGTAGTTCCTCTGAACAGAAGACAAGTGACAACATTAATGTCAACCTCAAAAATAAACAAACAACTGAGGTTAATGAGCAAATAAAAAAACATAAAATAACTGAGGAAAACAGCGATAGTGACTCAGATGGGTTCCAAAAAGTTATACACAGGAGACATCGGTACATAACTAAAAAAAAATATAGGAACGGCAGTAAGCGATGACGATAGCACAAGTGGTTTTGCAGGGGAAAAGAAAAAGTGTGGCTATACTTGTACAGAGTGAAGAGAACAACAAAACAAGAGGAGATATGTAAATTTCTAATAGAAAAGAGGAAAATGCAACAAGAGTCTATTATGGTAAAGAATTGCCAAGTCAAGAAAATATGTTGAAGAGATTTGTTGTATCGGCTCCTTTGAATATAAGGATGACATGTATAAACCAGAGTTTTGGCCTAATGGTGTTGGCATAAAAAGGTTCCAGATGCATCGTCATAAGGATTTTCTAGATAACAGAGGTGGAAATTTTTCATAGGAGAAAATAGAGAGCACAAGACACATCAACACAAGGAAATTTAAATACAAAACACAGTCACACGAGCAAAGAATATAAGTATCATCCACCAGAACCTCCAATCCATAGGAAATTGTATTGATGAAATAGAAGAACTTCTAACAAACAACAGTGACTGTAAAATATTGTGCACAACAGAACATTGGAAAACTAAAGAAGAATTAAGTGAATATGGAATTAACAATTTTGTGCTGACAGCTAGTCATTGTAGAAATAATGTAAATGAACATGGAGGAACAGCTATATATCTTAGTAAAGACATCATTGGCCAGGAAAGAAAGGATATACAAGAGTTATCAGTAGATAGGGTAATAGAGTGTGCTGTATGCGAAGCTAATATAGGTAATAACAAACTCATTATAGCATCAGTTTACAGACCATCAGGTAGCGATCTGGCAGTTTTTTTAAACAAATTTGATATTATACTGGGAAGAATTATGATAGAAAACACAATTATAATTATAGGGGGAGATTTCAATATCGATCTTAAGAATAACACATTAGATAAAGTAAAATTTTGTATGTTAATTAACTCATATAATATTTGTCATGTAATTGAAGACTACACTAGAGTAACTGCCACATCTAAAACTTGTATAGATAACATACTAACAAATATGCAATCATATGTGTCAGTAGAAGTCTTGCACGCTGGAATCTCTGATCATTCTGCCCAAAAATTAACTTTTCAGGTAGAGGAAGCAGAAATGAATACTCTTGAAATGAAAAGACATTTTAGTACACATAATATTGAAACCTTTATAAGTAAATTACATAATCATGACTGGATTAATTTAAGTTAACAAATGTGTAAATGATCAATGGAATACTTTCTTAAATCAGTTTCTGTATATATTCAATCAGTGCTTTCCTTTTAAAAAGTTAGATTCTAGGCAACGTAAAAAAGGCCTTAATAAAAGAGATGATCCAGAGATAATAGAATGTAAGACTCGTTTAGATATCTTGTTTACAATGAGCAGAGTTAACCATAAATTCTATGATTCCTATAGACAGGTAAAAAAAGAATATAATAAGAAACTAATAACAAAACGATCAAAGCTATATGAAAACAGGATATCTGAAGCTGCCAATAAAAATAAATGCATGTGGCAAATTGTTAGTGAAATTAATGGTCGATTAAAAAGTGTAAATTCAATAAAAGTAGAGGGTAGTCCTCAAGAGATTGCTGATAAATACATGATACACTTAAATACTTCTTTAAATAACACTTTATCTCAACTTCAATACACTGAATATAAAGACAACATAGCAAGTAACATAAATTCAGTGTTTGTCGCACCTGTGACAGAAACTGAAATTATGGATATAACTAAAAATTTAAAAAACAAAATGAGTTGTGGAATTGATGAAATACCCACTAAAATCCTTAAACTTTGTATAAAGGAGATAGTGAATCCTCTCACTACAATCATTAATAATTCACTAAAATCTGGTGTATTTCCTGAATGCCTGAAAACTGCCATAGTAACACCTATTTACAAAAAGGGTGATCCTAAATTAATTAATAAACTATAGACCAATTAGCCTTCTATGTTCCTTTTCAAAAATCTTAGAAATGACTATGTATAGGCGGATAACAGAATTTTTAACAAAATGTCATATTATTAGTGCAAATCAGCATGGTTATCAACAGGGAAAATCAACTCAGACTGCGATTTTTCAATTTGTCTGGGATATTTTGAAATGTACTGAGATTGGTCATATGGCTTTGGGTCTCTTTTTGGACCTATCAAAGGCATATGACTGTTTAGTGCATGACATATTATTTGATAAATTGGAGAAATATGGTATACGTGGACCAGCATTGAACTGGTTTAAGTCCTACTTGGCAAATAGGAGACATTTAGTAAAAATACATAAAAACACTGAAATCGGCATCTCATCTGAAAGCACTATCAATATTGGAGTACCACAAGGAAGTGTGATTGGTCCTTTACTGTTTGTGATCTATATCAATGATCTTCATGGTCTAGTGGCTAATACTACTTCCAGCATAACAAATTATGCAGATGATACTAACATTTTAGTCAGTGGTAAAGACATGTCTGTTCTAAGCGTTAATGCTAGTTTAGAGTTCCAGAAAGCTAAAGACTGGTTTTCTATGAATAGGTTGGTTTTAAATCAAAATAAAACAGATCTTCTTTTGTTTAAGACAAATTATGCACATTCAGATATGCCAAACAGTATTATTGTAAATAATGACACTTTAAATATTAGCAGCAGTACCAAATTTTTAGGATTATATATTGATAGTTTTTTATGTTGGGATAAACATGTTGACCAGTTATGTATGTCTTTGAGTAAAGTGATTTACAGCTTTAGAGTTCTAAAAAAATACATGAATAGTAACTCATTAAAAAACAGTGTATCATGCTAATTTTGAAGCAAAATTTAGATATGGTCTAATAAATTTTGGACACAGTAGGGACATAAATAATGTATTTCTGGTTCAGAAAAAAATAATCAGAGTTATGTTTGACTTAAAAAGTAGGGAATCATGTAGAGGGCATTTTAGGAGTAATAATATTTTAACAGTTTATGCTGTATTTATTCAAGAATGCTTACTGTTTCTATATAAAAATAAAATACTATTTAGGAACTTTGAGCCAATAGTATAGTAAATACCAGGTCATATAATTATAAAATTCCAATACACAGGTTAAGTATAACAGAAAAAAACGCTCTTTATTGCTGCATCAAATTGTTTAATAAACTGCCTGAACCTATTAAAAGGGAGGAAAGATTAAGTGTGTATAAACATCAAATATTTAAATTACTGGTAGCTCTTGAGCCATATTCTGTGGAGGACTATTTGCATATGTAACGGTTAGGAATAAGTAAATAATATTTTCGTTTGTGACACTGTTTTTTTTAAATAATTTTATGTTCACTGAATGTATATTGTTTTCTAAAAATAAAGATATTGTTATATTGTTATATTTCACGGAACAAATTACTTAGTAAGTTATCAAGTAACAAAACTTACCAAGAAGTATTTGGATTATCTCGGTGTTCCAAAGATAATGCAACTGCTCTTTGACATGAGGTATAGCGGTCAGCAGAAACATATCCATAGGCTGAGCAAACCAACCTAACACTGGATGCCAATGAGTTAGTGTAGATTGTTTGCTAACTACATAATTCTGGCAGCTTTCCAATAATCCAGTTACAACAACCTACAAATTTTAAACAAAATTATATATTATACAAATAAAACGGTAGAAGTTACTTTTTCTAACATTCATTTTTATTTCTGTGAATTAGCAAAGGCTCATTATGCCATCGACATTGTGTCCCTTGTGGGATTATAAAAAGTACCATGGTACTGTACTCTCCTCATTAGTGTGATTTTTGGTTCAATCCAGCTAAGACGAATGAGTGACGTTAGTTTTGCAGCTCTGACATATGTCTCTTTTACTAAGAGTATTATAATTGGTCTTATTTACGCTTATTTAATGCCTTAGCTTAGCATGTGTGACACACTCTAGTTCCTCTATTAAAAAAAGGTGCCAGGTGTGGGGCATAATTTAATGACAGCACCTGTGGCACACCTATTTATTATTTTTTGGCGTTAGAAGTGGATCCATACAGCCAAGAACACTGTTATCAATTGTAATACATTGATTAGGGTGCATACTACTAGATATTTGTAGAGTGTTTAGTTGAAAAATAAACAATGTTCGACAAAATTGTCTACTCAATGTTATCTATATTCTGATAGACTGATAGATTGACTGATTCAATCTGGTTCAGTTGTTCATGGAATTATTTGGTATTAAAGATTCATCTTACCTATTTCCTTTATTTAAAAAGGTGGTAAGTGTTGGGTAACATTTAATGCATAAGCACTTGTGACACAGTTAGTTCTATTACATTACCATCACAATTTATTTCACCCCAAACTGCAAATGAACTACCCATATGCAAGAGTTCAAAACATCTTTCCAAATTTCGTCAAAGACATAATCTTGACTCATCAGAAAACAGATAAATTCCACAATTCCTTACAGACCACTGTAAGTAATGTCTTGTCAATTTCGTATTTTCAATCGCTGTATCGTTAACCTCACGTGGTTGGCAACTTTCGAGGTTGTCTTCTACTTCTCAAATTAGTTATAATTTCATTATAGAAATTAAATAAATCAATAAAAGCGTGCATGTGACAAAATTAGGAACAGGTTTCACATAATTTTCCTAGTATCCCACTTCAATTAAGCGGAGTATAGTTGAAATTAAATTTTTAATACAAAACATATTTCTACTTACTGTAAATGTCGGAAAACACAATTCCCTAAGCGTACTATTTCTTTCTATGTATGCCATTTGGATTAAATTTGCCAGTAAACATAATGCATAGCTTCCTTCTAAAGTATTAAAAACTATTCTCATAGACTGCTGACTAGAAAGTAATTCTAAACTCCTTGAAAATATCTTGTGATTGGCTAATGTAGATATGCACTGAAAAATTAATACTGGTTAATATTGACTATTAATAATCTTCCCTAAACTAAAACTAAATTATATGTATGTAGGTTGTTTTTGTAGCGATATAAAACTTTAAGTAGGCAATACTTTTTTTAAAGTCAGCAACTTTGACTGCTATCGATAGATTTATGTTTAGTTTGACATGCCGTTTGTTTGTGAGAGCTGGGCCAGTTTTTTTAGGGCCTTTTCGGACCACGCTGAAGGGGATGAAGACTTTTCTTTTTCTGATATTGTTACGAATTTTGCATTCGAATTCCCAACAACTAATGAAGTGATGCATTGAAATTGTTCTTACCCTATCTTTTGGGATAAGACTGTTATGGATTCTAAGTTGGTTGAGAGGGGTTCGTTTACTTTGATAATTCGGTAAAATTTGCATTGGGGAAAATATTCGTTGGAATCTACTCGATTCTATGCTTTCAAAGATTATTTAGATTTTGAGCGAAAATAGAAGGTGCCTGAAGGATGTCTTATCTTGTAAGAGTTCCAGAGATTTAGGGTTACTAACTGTGTTCCTGATATTGGATTGATGAAGTGTGTATGATGTTGACAGGAAGAAGATCTAATTGCAACTTAGATTGACAAGAAGAAGATCTGGAGTACCTTTATCGATACAGCAGAAAAATTTCTCATTATTCGAAATATAAGAACTGGAGTATCGTTCTCATTATCTTTTAGGCTTGTGCAAGTGGGGACATTGAGATAATTGAGTTTAATAGACATACGAGAGTACTGGGTAGTAGCTAAATGTTTTCTGCCTTATCAGAAGCAGGCAGGACTGTCTTCTACGGTACCACAATGAGGCAGGTAGGTTGAGTTTGCGACAAGGAGACCTCGTTTAAAGAGACATAATAGATGTGTTGGACTTTTTCTGTGTAATTTCCATCTCAAGAACAGATTCACTAGCAAGGAGGGTAGCCCCCTTGGTAAAGGTATCTTTTTCTGCACAAGAGGGAGAATTATTTTGTTCACAATTCCTTCACTACTCTTTAAAGTAGTTGGAACTTTGACAGTAATCGATAAAATGCGTCAGATTAGGTGCTATGCATTCCCACATCTTTGTATGTGGGAATAATGTCTGACTTATTTTTTTAACGGTTGTTTAATCCTTAGCGCGACAAAGCAAGGTACTCTATACTCTATAGGTAGAATATACCTCCTGCTTAAGTGTAGCTTTGTTGCCAAGCTAAGAAAGGAAGAATCCTTCATGTCGACATTTTCTATATACAGTTGAATACATGAAATAGCCTCTTATAGGGCTGTTCCGTGGTTGTGTGGATGCGTGTGTGATAAACTTCCACGGACACAAAATAAAATAATAAAATTGAATAAAACGAAAAAAAAACTGTTAATAATATTTATTTTGGTAAAGCGTAATTAATTCTCGAAGGGAAGGTATTTTTTGTATATGTATCGAAGATCGATCTGAATCGGTCAGTAATCGTTGATTACTGAAAAACTAAAACTCAAACTAAACTACAACACAAAACACGCGTTCTTTGTTTTTAAAAGCCAGACGATAAACTTTTATGATCGGGCTGGTCGTTTCCCATAAATGCAACGCACTCAAAATGTATAATTAATGTGTCGAGCAAATCTAATATCTTGTCGTCGCAGCAAGTGTATCTATGGGATTAAAACACTTTGCTGTACGCTCTACTTAGGGGCTTCATGTATAAAGTATGAAATACCCCTAAGCATTAAACAATATTAACGTAGGATGTGGATTTTTATTATTAACTCTTGACAAAGACTTAATAAAAGTAAAGCAAATAGATAAAGGATCGTAGGAAATAAAACAAACTAACAAGATCCGAAGAATGCCATATTTAAAAGCATTTTAATATTTATATGGCATCTTTCGGATATCTCGGCCAAAGGAAAATTAACGAATGTGTAAAAAAGACGGGGCGATGCACATCAGTGTGCGTATTAGTTCGCGACTAAAGGCACCAGGATGATAATCTGTAGTAATTAAATAAATATATTGAGGAACACATTTCAATATTTTATTTCTATTATGTGTATAACCAATTGCGAAAAAGTAAATTTTAATATGAGATTGTTTTATTTAATTTTTGAATACAAAAGTTATTCGTAATTAGCTTGTCGATACAGGGCTAGCAACTACAAGTAGGTCACTCCTACTAGCTGACCTAACACATAAAAGAGAATGTTTTGTCTTTAAAAGAGACTTTAAAAGAGAATGTCTATAAATAGACACTGCATTGTCTAAAATTTGAGTTTGAGATTTAACACCGAAATTTCATCCCCTTACATTTCAACTGTCTAACAACAATCAACTATTTAACAAACTATTTAAAAATATACTATTTATAATTGAATATAATATGTTTATTATAAATAAAAAATGTTTATAAATAAAATATTTTTGTTTACGAAAACCTTCATGCTTCATGTACATAACTTACCTCTGATGACAAGTTCTGAAGATGTTTCACCAAACCAGGAATAGAAAAAATATTTATTAAAAATATTGTCATCAGTTTATCTGAATAGTTGGCTGCAACTAATGGTCTCAAAGAGAGAGTAAGTATTGCTGATAAAGACACATGTTTAAATGCTATCTTTGTTCTGGCTAAGCCCCTCAAAAGTAGATTCTAAAATAAAGTAATATATAAACAGAGTTGGACATATAGATAAGTGTTTAATTAAAACTCTAATGTAATTTTGTAATTTACAATTAGATAAGAGGAGAAAAGTTGAGTAAAAAGAGATCTAGAGGATGACCCAGACAAATGTGGATACAATGATAATAGAGTCTCAAGAAAACAGGAAAAAACTGTCAAAGAAATAGACAGTTTTTTTGTTTTGAAAATATTGTGTATAAAATATATCACTGTACCTTTAATACCAAATAAAACCCTTTGTGGAAGAGCTGCCCCATTAAGTTGGCACATAGCTGATTCATTCCAGACCAAAACATCTCCATATTCTTATTTTTTAGAACTACCCAAGTATTAGTGCTTGTAAAAGAAACTAATACATGTAAATACATTACAATACTTTTCATATCACCCGACAGTTCAGGTTTGAGATCATTTAAATATCCACAACAGTTCCATAAAATCTCATTCATGTGAGATATCCATCGTATCACTGTTTGCTTGTTAAATGCAACTCCTACATAGCTAATTTTTAGCGAATCACTGTTGAGAGTAGCGACTAAGTATCGGCATAATGTAGCAAATCTCTCTTTGTCTCTTTCTTTTTTCCATATGAATAAAAGTTTAAGGGCATGGTGAAATATTTCATTTGCAGGTTTGTACTGAATTTTGGAAACATCTTCTGGCGTATGTGGAATAGCTTCATCAAAGTCTTCCCTAAAAGTTAATAAATACTCAATACATGACAATATGATTAATATAATTACTATTTAAATGGAAATAAGCCACAATTAAAGGTTAAAGTACATTTATTGACGTTTCAATTTCCACTTCGGAAACAACTAAACAACAAACTAAAAATTGCTGATGTCCAGAGAACATTGTTACAATGGTGAGTCTCCGGAGTTCCACAGGGATCCCACCTGGGACCTTTGCTGTTGGTGCTATGTATCAATAATAATTCAGTGCTTCAAGTCTGCTAAATTTTGTTTCGTAGATGATTTAAAGTGTTGCCTCTCAATATTATCCCTAGAATACTGTCTTAAATTTCGGGCAGACCTGGCTAGACTAGACAGATGATATAAGATCAATGATATAGATCTGAATATTTCTAAGTGCACTCCATAATATTTACAAATAAACTAAACAAAATTAATTTTAAATACAGAGTAAAGGTATCTTATTACCATATCTTGTTACCATATCTTCATGTCTTGAATCAAATCATTCAAATAAGTGAAATCTTGAATTTTTAACATAATTTTCAGCAAGTGCGTTAAAACTACATGTAGCCTGAGTTCATTAGTATTGTGAATTGCCTTAAAGATAAAGTTTGGATTTTATTTTGTATCTATGAAATTTGCTTAGATTTTGAACTAATTGTAACCAGTGGCAGCATTTTTGTGCTAAACAAATGAACAGTTGATTTAATCAGTTTAATTCCTATATGTATAAATTATTGTATAGTTAGTACTGCTATTGAGGTTGTAAATTTTTATAATTGTATTTAAAATTCGGCTAGGGATGTTGATAAATATATAATGTAGTATAATTACTAACAAATTAGCAGATACACTGAACATTGTATATTTCATATTTTATTACTATTATATAGAGCAACATTACATCTACCCATGGGATCTTCAGTATATTTTCTTATTCTATAAAAATACATGACTTTCAAACATTATTAAGTAAATAAATATCAATGTTAAACTGTAACTATCATTATAGTGAGTAAATATTCTTTCCATAATCTTATAATATATTATGTTCTTAATATATTTGCCTTTATGCCCCTTGTAATATTGGAAAAACGTACCTTACAATGTAATTTAATTGTGCGCATCCTATAATAAATTACACTATATCAAATAAAAAATATACTAGTATATAAAAATAAAATATATTTACAAAATGTTCCTGGTAAATCGAACTCTACACAACCATCCTCTTACGTGAGCTTGGATTATCTTTGCAGCAGCTTCTCGTTTTTTCTCTAAAGCTCTTTCTTCTCGGGCAGCCTTGGTTTGCTCTAAAAAGCTCCCTTTAGAATTCTCCGCCTTGTGAAACATGCCTATATAGTTTCGGTTAATATATAAAAACGAAATGAATGTTGATATTAGGTTGTCATATTGAAAGATTATTGCAATTTGCAATATCTTGATTGCTGATTTTTAAGTTTTAGTAAATATAAATATACTTTGTTGACAAGTACTTTTTATTACAGTTTTTTGACATTAATGACATATTATATTATCTTCTTTTTATTTAAAGTTTATTTTTAATTTTGTTAATATTAAGTATGATTAAAACACTATTTTATAAAAGTTTTAAGGACATTATACTTTAATATATTTGTTTACTTTAATTAGATAAAATGGATTGAACTCCAAAAAAACTAGAAATTTTTCAGATTTATGTTCAAAGATTCGAAAAAGAAGATGACATTTTCCCATCACCAAGTGAGGCGCAGTATATACCACAGATCGTAGTGTAAGTGCAATACGACAATTGGGGAGAGTGAGTTGCATGGGGCCAGCCGTTTGTAAGGTCGACGGCGCTACTAGTCACGTTAGGTCATCGAGCAATAAGACAAAAGAGGGAATGTAAAGGTAGAAGGGGTAAACATATTGATAGACAGGAAGTGCCATCTTGAGAGGCCACTTTAGACAAGGATAGACAGTCTCTTTCCTTGTTTAAGAAGTCAAATTTAGTTTGGTTATGTTATTGTTTGTCCCCAATGACGTATAATATATAGACTCGGTGAACGCTTTAAAAAGTGTCCAAAACATGAATACCTTTGTTATTGTTTATTGTTTTGATACGAAGATGCACGAAGTTCATGATTTCTTACGAAGCATCACGAAGTTGATCTTGTGTTTGAAAACATCATGGACGTACTCCATTTTGTGTGACAAGCAAATTTTATTTTAAATTGTTGAGAGTTATTTACTTACTATTTTAGTAAAATGCCATACTATTTTATCAAAATAATTATTTCTCTTATAGACGGGAACAAAAAGAAATCATAAATATTTAATTTTAATTAAAAAAATAATTATTGTCATTAACATATAAATGAGCACGCCGCTGTTTTGATAAACATACCTTCAACCTTGAGTCGAGATCTTTCGGACACTTGATTCTATAGCGAGAATAGGGGACTGCGTAGTCTATATATTATACGTCATTGTTTGTCCCAACTGTCACATGAAATTTTATTTATATTGAAGTTTTTTACCAATTATGTCACTTTTTAGACTATTATCGTTAATATTTAATTAAAACTTTCTAGTCTGAAAAATATTTTATAGCTATTGTTAACAAATGTTGGAAAATTTAAATTTAGCGCCTTTGCATTTCCGGATGTGTCCGCCATCAGAGGCCACTTTTTTGGTCTCCTTTTTATAACGATTAGATTCCCTCTTTTGTCTTATTGCTCGATGCGTTAGGTGGAGGTATGACATGGTACAATGAATTGTACCATGTGGTATGACCATCGAGCAAAAAGATAAAAGAGGGAATGTAAAGGTAGTGGGGACAAAAATATTGTTAGACAGGAAGTGCTATCTTGAGAGGCCACTTTAAACAAGGAAAGACAGTCTCTTTCCTTGTTTAAGAAGTCAAATTTAGTTTGGTTATGTTAGTCACATGAAATTTTATTTATATTGAAGTTTTTTACCAATTATGTCACTTTTTAGACTATTATCGTTGATATTTAATTAAAACTTTCTTGTCTGAAAAATATTTTACAGGTATTGTTAACAAGTGTTGGAAAATTTAAATTTAGCGCCTTTGCATTTCCGGATATGTCCGCCATCAGAGGCCACTTTTTTGGTCTCCTTTTCATAACGATTAGAAGGAGCGATTAATTACAGGGACCCGATCCGTCAACTGCGCATGTGCAATCTTTGAAATGACATCATGTATTGTGATCAAAAGTGACAACGAGGGACAATCTCCAACCTAAAAAAATCTGAGCAAGTTTATAAAAACGATTAGGAATAAAAAGAGGAAATTTTACAATATTTCTTTCTACAGGTACATAATTGTTACATTCATAACTAAAATATAGAGAATAAATAACTTGTACTCTGAGTAATAAGAAAGAAAATCACATTAACCTAATGTATATTGACGACTCTTGTAAGATTGTTTATTTTGTTGTGAAAGCTTATGGAAATTGTTAACTTTGCACCAGATAGTTTAAAATATTTAACGTACCTAATACATGTTTATGAGTGAAGATAAGGATTATAATAAATTATTATATAAGTATTATTATAAACTTAAATTTATTTATTGTTGTTGAAAGTAAACAAAGTATTAATGAACTAAATTTAAATGACATACGGTTAATGGGTTAATCTTGTATGGGTTGGCAAAATCGTTGTCTTCAGGTGGATGTTTTCAAAAGTTGTCTCGTTCTAAAACGTGTTTAAAATAGTTTAATTCTTCAATACTCTTCCATAAAAAACTGAAGTAATTGCGGACATAAAACAGAGTGTTTGTATTTTTCCAACAACTTTCATAATTTCTGTAAAATAAACTTCATTAATGTAGAAGTCCTTTCGGCTTGAAAAAAGCTACTGGAAATCTTCCAGACACTTATTTAAATGCACATTTTCTCCACATTGCATCGGCGTAGAAAGCTTAGACTGATTTGAGAAAATTTTACCACATTCAAAACAGTTCACTGATATATTTACTAATTACGTAAATAGGGAACTATTCAAAACAATTTTTATTTGACAATGCAAGATACCGCCTAAAATTTTCATTTGAAGGTTCGAAATATTTCGAATGCAGTCGTTTCGCACATGCGCAGTTGACGGATCGGGTCCCTGTAATTAATCGCTTCTACGATTAGATTCCCTCTTTTATCTTTTTGCTCGATGGGTATGACATAGCAAGAGGCGTATGGCGTTGATGTAAGTTCTGTTGCCATGTCTTCAACAGTTTTGTATATTTACTCAAATAATGATTATAGGTACTGTATAATGTTTTCCAAAAAACTAAGATTGTAGCAAATTTTACTAAAACCACAACTTAAATTTACATTAACTTATTTCTAAATTTTTAGAACCCACCGAAAAAAAAAGGTGTTGTGTAGTGGCAACATTGTAAACCACGCTATTGGAAAGAGTGTTATATAATACAAGTGTTATATATACGAGTGTTATATAAAAATGCGTAAGTGTATATTATACATCGAGCAAAAAGATAAAAGAGGGAATCTAATCGTTATGAAAAGGAGACCAAAAAAGTGGCCTCTGATGGCGGACATATCCGGAAATGCAAAGGCGCTAAATTTAAATTTTCCAACACTTATTAACAATAGCTATAAAATATTTTTCAGACGAGAAAGTTTTAATTAAATATTAACTATAATAGTCTAAAAAGTGACACAATTGGTAAAAGATTTCAATATAAATAAAATTTCATGTGACAGTTGGGACAAACAATAACATAACCTAACTAAATTTGACTTCTTAAACAAGGAAAGAGACTGTCTATCCTTGTCTAAAGTGGCCTCTCAAGATGGCACTTCCTGTCTATCAATATGTTTACCCCCACTACCTTTACATTCCCTCTTTTGTCTTATTGCTCGATGATATTATATCAAATTATATTTTTGGATAGAGAGAATATATTTGTTGGCATAGATTAATTTTTTGTTTTTTATTTTATGACTATATTTATTTTCCATTAAAAGAATACTTTTAAACATATCAAATTTTTTAAATTTGTAGCACAAAATTCAGAGTCTACGTTTTAAATTTGCCACCAAATGTAACTAATTTTGGCCCGTCCGCATTTGGCGCTAGAAACTCTTTAAAAAATCTTTCTATGGGACTTACCTTACTAGAGAGCTATTGGCTATGTCTGCTCTGAAGTGAGGTGCGACTGGTGCGAGTAAGGTTAGAATGGTTACATTTTTGACTTTTTGAAGCAGTTAAAAATTGAAAATTGAATATTAGCTGTAAGAAATGTCTGAAAATTCTACAGTTCGCCTGCCACAGAAGCGATTTTATAGGCAACGAGCACATTCCAACCCGATAGCGGATCATTGTTTTGATTAGTAAGAAATATGTTTTTAAATTATTAATTAATCTTATTACATCTTGTTTGTAGTCCTCATGCTCCAGAACTCATGGACTGGAGTCCTTTTTATCCAGAAAAATTTGTAGACAATGGGAATAATCCCCCTGAAATAGAATTTGCAGATATTGGCTGTGGTTATGGTGGGTTACTCATTACTTTATCTCCCATGTTTCCACAGACATTGATGTTAGGAATGGAAATAAGAGTCAAAGTTTCTGACTATGTTATGGACCGAATTACTGCATTGAGGTCTCAACATCCTACAGAGTATCAGAATGTAGCTTGTCTGAGGTCAAATGCTATGAAGTATTTGCCGAACTTTTTTAAAAAAGGGCAGGTGAGTTTTTTTGTGTAGTCTACTGAGAGAATAGCTGTGTTTTGGCAGTATATCTATGTATTGAAATAAGTTATATAATAAAAAGTGTTTTTCAAATTTTGTTTTAGTTAAAGAAAATGTTCTTCCTATATCCAGATCCACACTTCAAGAAAGCAAAACATAAATGGAGAATAATTAATCAAAATCTCTTAGCTGAATATGCTTATGTGTTAGCAGAAGGTGGTATTGTCTATACAGTAACAGATGTTAAAGATTTGCATGAATGGATGTGTCATCATTTTACAATGCATCCTTTGTTTGAACAAATTTTAGAAGAAGACTTGGTAAGTAAATTAGAAATTAGGATAAAGTAAAATTGTATTAAGTAAGTGCAAAAAGGTTCTCTTATATTTTAAAAATGGCAACACCAGGGCTGTTCAGTGTTTTATATTCCTTATAATTACATTTTAATTGTAAAAAGTACTTGTACGAAGGAATCTATTCAAACAATCATTTCCTGCAATGATGTCTTTCTCTGGTTCTGTTTTTTTTTTATTATTTCTAAGATCTTTGTGGTGTGAAATTTCCATTTTATTTTTCCAATCATTCCAATATGTTTTGTTATTAAAAGTTTGTTCTATATTTTAAAAAATATTGTTTTTTTACAGAAGGATGATCCAATTATAGAAAAGTTGTATAGCAGCACTGAAGAAGGTCAGAAAGTAACCAGAAATAATGGTGACAAATTTCTAGCTGTATTCAGGAGGATACAGGATGCATTTTGTACAAATTAATATATTTTAAAATAAAAATCTATAAAATTTAAAATTTTGTTATTAATCTTCTAAGTTTATCATTATTCATAATGGGATTTCTATGTATTCAGATGTGCTGTTGTGCTTACACTTATTGCCCTAAGGTACTCTGGGGTACATTATTTGATATCATATGAGATATCAGAAGTTGATTAACTTAACATAAAGCCTCTAGATATTAGAAAAAGACAATAGAGTTTGGAGTGGTGGCAATGTTAAGTATGAAGCGTTATATAGAGTACCTACCTACTGTTTGTATATCTCTTAGTGCTAACAATAACTTTCCCAGCAATTAATGTTGGTTTTTTGTCCAAATAAAAAATTGAAATAAAACACCATAAAATAATTTACTCTTTTTTACAAATACACTGATTTTTGCATACAGGAGCTACCTGTTCTACAATTATCTTATCAGCTGGTTCTTTATTGTTTTCAAGTATATCTTGTTCTTTTTTGTTGTCTTGTTCTATTTTATTCCCAATTACTGAAGTTAATTCAAAAGTCTGTAATATGCCATCATGAATAAATGTTTTTAATGTATCTGCTAAAATTGATAAAGATGGCTTTACAAAATATTGTTTTAGTCTATGTTCTTTATCCAATGTTTGGGATTCTTTTTTGTCATGGCTTAATTGAGAATAGTAAATGTCCGTTTCATCTCTAATCCCATTTACAATTTCTTTAAGTGGGTCGTCAAAGACAACATCTCTAAAAAATGAAATGTAGTGAAATATTTATTGAAAGAAGTTTATTTATTTTTTGTTCAACGGGCTGCTGCCCAATAAGATTAACAATGTATACAATAAAACAAAGTAGAGTATAAATATCACAAACTTAATCACATAATTTAGTTTTACCCATCAAAATAATGACGAAAGTACATGCCTGAGACCAGAAATGAATTTGGCCTTCGGTGCAAAAAAATCTAGATCTGGGTTAATATTTGCCCATCTTAGTGTTCTAGATAAAAAATTATATGCATAGTTGTTTTTGTGAAGAGGAAAATAAAAAGTTTGGATAAATCGTGTTTTACAGAGAGGTAGATGCAGACCAACCTGAGCAAGTAGCTGAGGACACAAGACTATAGAATTAATTATACCATAAAGCATCTTTAAATAATCGTCACTCATACAATGAGAGGATACCGAGTTGGGTTTCAATTTGATCATAATTTGTTTGATTTAATTTAAAAGGTATATCCTGTTTATATCATTATATGCTATATATTTCAAGAACTTGTGTTAAACTGTCTTAATTTTTTATATGTAAATATTATAAGATGGAGACTTTGCATTTGTAAAGACTTGGAAATTATTGACATTATTTAGAGACTAAATTAATTCCCAGGTCACGAATTTCGGTAAATCAGTTAACAAGAATTTTCTGTATATTATAATTATATTCCATTGGGTCTGTCGATAGTAAAAAAGAAACAGCATGATACTTAAATGCCTTCAGGGCCATGACATTCAACACACACTACTCACTCAACCAATCAAGATCGTGTTGAAGATTAACAAAATCTTCTGTATTATTGATAATTGTGTAAAACTTTGGATCGTCCGCAAAAAGAAGAGGTGAACTGAGCTGGAAGCAGTGGTGTATATCATTGACCAATATGTTAAATAACACGGGTCCCAAATGAGAACCCTGGGGTGCCCCTGAATGAACCTTTATCTCACTATAAACAAAATCCCTGATACGTAACATCTGAACTCGGTCAATGAAGTGTGTTCTCCAACATCTAAGAAGTGGCCCATCAACACCCATTTTTTTTAAGTTTAACCATTAAAATCGTATGTTTGATCCAATCAAAGGCCTTGGAGATTATATGCCTAGGCCTAGGTGATTATATATACACAATAGTGTATAGTGCATATAATAAATATCAGATATAGTTACGTCGAAACCAGTCAAGCTCGTAAAACCAAGAGAAGTTGAGCATATTTGAGTGGAATAGAGAGATTTTGGGATAGAGAATTACAATTTTTTTAACAAACAGAATATATCGATAACGGTAATAGGCAACACTTGCCTAAATCCTAAATCCTTTTGAAAACAAAGAAAAACAACTAGTGTAATATAGATAAAGGTACTACTTATTGTAGAGTTTATGACATAAAAGCAGTGGTAGAAAATATATAAGGTCAAATAAAATATGTGTATGGAGGAGTAACACCGAGATGCAAACTCTCATTTCTTACCGTACTGCTTCTCCATAGGTTGAAAGGTTTCCGCGGTTAGTACAATTAAACCTAGAGGCAAGATTAATACTATGACAGGAATTAATATTAATCTTAACAGTCTTCCAGGTTGAACCGCGTCAATTATTATTGCGCTGAGCTGTCGACATCCTCTTCGATGTCTTTTGCAGTGCTTCTGAGGTCTCAGTCTCCCGGACCCCCAGACACTGCTACACTGATCACTAGCCAATGCATTAGTGGCACTGGGAATAAAGGACGGTTCATTTATATGTGGTAATGTGATTTGGGTGGAGGTTGACGTGGGGGTTAGCGTGGGGATTGGCGCGAACATTTCTGACAGTAGGATGTTGATTCATGGGCGGAGCGGAGAATATTTTCATTATGGGAGGTCTCCAAGTCGAAGGTAACCGTATGCCGTCATATCTCTTATTGAGACAATTTGACTTTTTTCAATTTTTATGGCTTCTCGGATAATTCTGGGTTTATAGAAGCGGATAAGAGCTATGGTATTGAAGTCCTTAAAATCAATTTTGTGATTGTATGACTGTATGAAGATGGTGTTGACCTAGAGCTGAAATTAAGTCGAAATTGCGAACAGAACATTACATTTCTGTTTTTTACATACGCAGCCTTCGAAATGTGGGTCTATAGAAGAATTCTACGCGTGTCCTGGACAGAACATAGAACCAACCTGTCAATTCTGGAAGAGCTTCATATAAAAGAAAGGCTATTAAAAAAGTAAACCGAGTATACCTAATTTACGTCAGCTACATAGCTAAGAGGACGGGGACAATGGAACTCTTGGTAGTAAAAGGAAATATCAAGACCAAGAGGAAGATCTCCAATACGATGGGCAGGCCAAATGAAGACTCTGGTGGGAAAATCCCTACATGAAGCTGCCAATTCAGCACAGGATCGCAGCCAATGGAGTCAGCAAGTTACTAATATTTAGAGTGTCAGCACGCCCTGAAAAGGGCTCAAAGAATGAGGAGGAGAAAACCACTTGTGCTTCACCTAATCTCTCAACCCATAGAACAACGTAATAGTACATTCTAGTTACTTGTATTTTAAAAGAACTTAATCTGGTAGTAAATGTCTAACAAAATATACTTACGAAATTATCATTCTTAAGACATCTTCTATAAGATTTTTGTGGAAGTTATCATTTTTCAAAATGTTTCTCTCTTTTTCTAGATGTTTTACTGTTAGACCATCTATTTTCAGTTTATTTTGAGGATGGTACGTAAAAATCTCTGGTGGTTTTACAAAGTTAGTTAAGTCTCGCGTATATACAACATTCACTCTGATTGTAAGGGTCATGATGTATGATGTAGTAGTATCTTTCTCAAGGTTTTCCTAAAAAGATTCATATGTGCTAAAAATGTGTTATATTTGACATTACTTCAAATTGTGATTTATTCCCTCAATAGAAATATAATAGTAATGTTTCAGTATAACGTATGTCCCTGAAGTTTTCGGAAAATTGTAGATTTAAAAGTATTATTAGTAGGAAGCATTGGATCAAGTTGCCATGTTGGGTGTGTTCGTGGTGAAGCTCTCAATGCTGACAATCAGGTTGAAGTTGAAAGGTGTCTTACAAAGTTAACCAATCTGTCCAAACGACAGATTGGTTAACTGATCAAAATATAAATTTTGTTTCCAAGCGCGACAACCGTCCAACTGAACAATTCTGGGCTGTTTTGAGGCAAATGGTGTAATAATGGCTGGGAAGCCCAAAATGAAGATCAGCTAAGGCGAAGAATTTTGCAAAAATTTCGTGAGATCGACATAGAAACAGTTCAAAGGCGTATTGCGCATGCAAGACCAAATTTACGTGCGATATAAACCTTATATGTAGACTTAATTTCCTGTATTAAGTTAATTTTAATATTAAAATACATATTTATTTCCGAAATCTTTAGGGATATGCGTTATACTAAAAACATGTATGTGTTTAAATCATCGAGCAAAAAGACAAAAGAGGGAATCTAATCCTTTAGAAAAGGAGACCAAAAAGGTGGCCTCTGATGGCGGACATATCCGGAAATGCGAATGCGCCAAATTTAAATTTTCCGACACTTATTAACAGTAGCTATATAATATTTTTCAGAATGTGTCTTAGACGAGGAAGTTTTAATTAATTATTAACGGTAATAGCCTAAAATGCGACACAATTGTTAATAAACTTTAATATTAATAAGATTTCATGTGATATTTGGGACAAACAATAACATAACCCAACTAAATTTGATGTCAAACAAGGACGGGGACCATATGGAAATTGAGTATACATAATATATATAACAAAAGAAAATATAAACAATAATACTATACCTGGTTTTCTACATCTATTTTATACTGAACGCTATTTTCATTTAATTGGGTTTTTTCAACTTCTACCTCCTGACACTTTTCAATTTCGGATAACAAGTGTTTTTCCATATCTTCATTTTTTCCCGTAGGGTAAACTTGTTGTACGATAGCCAGTCGACAAGACAACACAAAATCAGAGATTAGAGATTGATGAAAAGATTGTATTTGTAAGGTAATAGCATGGGACTGGCTGGGTAGGAGGTAACCATTTTCTTCTTGGGCCTGTATTTTAATGAAATTGGGAATATCCACGCTGTAAATTAAACGTCTTTAGAGTTGAAATTATTTAAATATAAAAATAATACCGGATATAAAATTCTACTATTATAATTCATTAATGCGCATAAGAATGCAATAATGAAGAGATAGAAAAAAAAAAAACAAGAACAGTGCTTCACAGGTTTAAACCAACGAAATCTCTACCTGCTTGATCACAAACTAAACCTCTTAGTTTATAATCTCACATTAATCTTAATTTCCTAATTTTACCTATATAATTGCAATAGATATCTATATTTTAATTTAATTGTAAGGTTAGTTACTTCCCGGTAAAACTCAATCAACCCATAATTAAGAGAGAAGTTCGGACATTGGGCATTTGTATTTATACATTGGTCCTTCGTGCAAAACATTATCAAAAGGGCGAGATGAAGATCAAGGAGCTAGCAGCGACTAGAGATTACCAGTTCCAGTTCCGTTTAAAAAGAAATTGAATAAGAGCGTAGGGCCTTTTGAGACAAACGTTAAAAATCTTCAAAGGAAAGGAGAATAAGAGAATACTTCAATGATTGCTTGGAAACCATTGGTTAAGAATATATTAAAGTTTAATACAAGTCTTCAACAAAAATTGTAGAAATAAAAATCAGGTTGGGAAAGCTTCATAATTTATTGGAAGATGATGAAACTGATGAAGATATAAGTATTGAAAAGAAACAGTACAAAAAATAGACGCATTTATAATTGAACTCAGTCTAGAAGATGAACACGATGCTCTAGAAGAAGGGAAAATAGAAGTAAAGTAAAGTAACCGCATTTAAGAGTAAATATGAATCATGGGTACCTTTCCATGATTTGTTTTAACCATGAGAACAACCAACTATAAAATTTGGAAAAATGCAGTACCTGAAGACAAGCATCCGAGAAAAAGCAAGCAGATTAATACGTTTAAACATCCCGGAAGGAAACTATAACACTATCTGGAAAATGTAGCATTTATATTAATAAACAATATACTTCAGATTCCAGAGATAAAAGAAGCATCATAAAAGGTACTGAAAACATTATATGACAGTTTCCACGAATGCTTAGAAGCGATTAGTGGATTAGGTGTATAATAATAACAGAGTCCTGGAGCGCTCTTATATCAAGGATAGGCATGTTAGAGTAGAAAACGGAAACAGAATAATGAAAAACTAAATAAAGACCTTTTAAAATCGGATGAAATGGAAAAGAAATTAAAACAAGCCATAAATGGCAGTTTAAAAACTATAAATATTACCAAAACTGATGCATTTATGCTCCTTTCTGATCTATATCGTCACAATCAAAAGAAATATTTTAAAGAAGACGAAGTAGTGTAAAGATAATCAGTATAGCCCTCAAGAAAGCAAATGTATTGATGTATTTATTCCGTTTGATCATAACTTGTCATAATATTCACTTACCGGTTCCATTCGTAGTAGATAATTATGTCGGTGGTAACATTTTGAATAAATATAATCCTCTCGGTGTAATTACATATCGGCATGCAATTTACTATTAAGTAATCAACTGAAAAAACAACTGGGAATTTTCCTGTAGATTTACAAAATTGTGGCATTGAAAAATGAAAATAGGTCTCATCTACTGGACTTTCCAATGTGCCTGTACCTGTTAAAGTAAGTCTTGTTTCTTCTCCCTTTATAAAAAGGGAAATCTTAGCCTAAACATTTAAAAATGACGTGAATAGAGTGTAAATACACACACGCACATATATAAATATATATATATATATATATATATATATATATATATATATATATATATATAATAAAGTATTCAACTAGTGAATTCAGAGGTTTATTCGGTCATTCAGGTTGGCAAAATAAAAAACAGAAGTCAACTACTTCATAAGTTTATTAGAAGACGTTTCGCTTTATACTTCTAAAGCTTCATCAGCTCTCTAAAATACAAAGATGACATAGAGTTTATAAGAAATACAGATCTAATAATTTATTACTTACAACTCAATATGTTTGTTGTCGATGTTGTTCATCGACAATTTGAGCCAGGTTTACCACTCTCTCATCTTACGAAATAAATAATACCAATATTCATAATTTAAAATAGCTTTATTTTCCATTAAAAATAATAACATAATCATCCCAGACCTCTAAGTTTCATTAAAACATAAATTACAAAAAAAATCATATCAAATTTTTTCGTCCAACTAATCTTTCAATGACCTCCGTAGAAGTTCATAATTGTCTCAAACCTTGGAATTTGTTGAACATGGCCCTTAAAAACCTTCGGTATCGCGTCACGTCGTTTTGCATAGATTGCAATAAATCAGTGTTTTGTTTGCCTTCATTGGAGAACCATCTCTAAATGAAGCCAAATGTACGGTTAAAATTTTTGTAAATCTTCGTTTCTGCGAATATTATTTTTTGCAAAGTTTTTGTGTTCTTTGTTTCTGTTTAATTTTTTTTAAGTTAGTTCTAAATTTATGAGTAAACTTACGTACATATACAATAACATCTTTAATACCACATATTGAGTTGTAAGTAATAAATTATTAGATCTGTATTTGTTATAAACTCTATATCATCTTTGTATTTTAGAGAACTGATGAAGCTTTAGAAGTATAAAGCGAAACGTCTTCTAATAAACTTATGAAGTAGTTGACTTCTGTTTTTTATTTTGCCAACCTGAATGACCGAAAAAACCTCTGAATTCACTAGTTGAATACTTTATTATATAAATTGACGGTCGTACTTTTTACAATATATATATATATATATATATATATATATATATATATATACATACCTACATATATATATAATATATATATATATATATATATATATTTACATACATATATATATATATATATATATATATATATATATATATATATATATATATACAATGAATACTGATAAAGGAATCTTGATAAAGGAATTAAACAATTCCGAAAGCTAGACCAAAAGTCAAAAGAGTGTTTCTGTAACATCCCGGCCAAACTTCTGACTGCAGCCCCAATAAACTTTGTTGTTGTTTATATATATATATATATATATATATATATATATATATATTATATACAGTAGTAAATACGGTTATGGATTCGTCGCTTTATCTGTCCGATGTATGTACGTGGACAACTGGAACAAGGTATCTCGTAGACACCATGGTCTTCATTAGGGATTTGGTCTTTTACGGATCTGACGAGATTGGACAACTTGGAGTGAGTAGTGAAGATGGTTTTGACGTTTAGAGGAAGAAGAGTTCTACTGTGTCTCATTGAAATGATTTCGGATGACCTATGATTGATGTCGCTAAGTCTTATGGAACGAGAAATGAGAGTGTTGACCACTGAATTGAGTTGGCTGGGCATTAAGATATCGGTTTGTATGAGTGGCCATTCTTTGATGTCCTTATTCAGAAAAACTTACCTCACAGTTTTTCCTATTCCATGTACCGGAAACCCGTTATATTAACAACGGCACGGCTCAGGGTACTTGACTGTTATGACCAAATACTTCATTTCGCATGTTATGGGAAATCATCTCATTCACTTACGAGTGCACTTTTTTATATATTAAATTAAACGGTCATACTCCTTAAAGATATATATATATATATATATATATATAAATATATATATATATATATATAAATATATATATATATATATATATATATATATATATATATATATATATATATATATATATATATATATATATATATATATAAATCGAAGATGCTAATCCACCTGAAGAAAAAAGCATTTGATCAGTGTATACTACCAATCAATGACATATTGAAACTCAAAGTCACTCAAAGGTAAATGGAGCGATGCTTGCTAGGTATAACAAAGAGAGATCGAAAAAGAATAGAATGGATCAGACAGAAAACCAAGGATATTGATGTAATCCATATAATTAAATTTTTAAAATGGCAGTGGGCGGGACATTTATTGAGGATCTAGAACAAGACAATAGGTGGTAGATACTAGAATTACACTGTGGTATCCAAGAGGCGTCAAGAAATCAAGAAGACGGCCAAATTTAAGATGGAACTATGACCTAAGGAAACAAGTTGGTACAACATGGAACAGAAAAGCGAATTTTAGAAAATAGCGGGTTGTTTGAACATTTGTTTTATGTTTAGAAATTATCATAAATTATTTTTAATTCGTTCTTTAAATAATAAAAATGTACAGTTACAATTCGGATTTACGGTACAAGTATTTCCAAACTTTTTTTAAATGCTTTGAATCGCTGTGTAATCTGGAATTAGTCCATTAGAATACCTTACGCTAAATAAAGATCTGGCAGTGACTATTGCCTGAATAAAACATTATTGCTGTTTTTTCCTCAAATCGGTACATTTCATTAACTTTATTGCGAAAGGCGTGTTCAATCCACCTATCTGGATTGCCAACGCCTTTTGTTAAACTAATTAATTCCTATCTCTCTAATCGCACGATCAGTATCAAACTAGCAGACTATTTATCCACACCCTTCACTGCACAAGCTGGAGTACTCCAGGGCTCAATACTTGCACCAATATTATACACAGTCTACAACAGTGACACCCCCCGCCCACAGCATAGATCGGAGTCCCTTCTTCTACTATATGCTTATGACACTGCTCTCCTCACGTCAGAATCACACAGAGAGCATGGACGACTGTCTGTATTCGAAAGAGCACAAAACTACCTTGCTAGAGTCATTAGGTGGTGCAATAAATGGAGAGTTACCATAAATCCCTCCAAAACTTTGTTTCCTTCCAAAAGTTTCGCGATGTTCGGGACCGAATAACTCTGTTAGGAGAGGACCTTATTCCCAGAAACTCGGTTTCCTATTTGGGAGTTCATTTTACCAGGAATCTCTACTGGAAAACCGACATTCAATATACCCTTGATAGGGTGAGAAGGAGGTTTAAACTCCTGGCAGTGTTGTCCGGTAAACTGGGCAAGACGTCATCCAAAACTTTATTGCACACCTATAAAACATACATCAGACCCATAATCGAATACAGAGCATGCGTCTATGCTTCTCTCAAGACCTACGAAATCAATGCCATCATGACAACCAAAAGAAAAATCCTCAGATTCTGCATGAGGCAAAGCAAGCTATATCCATCAGCGCAACATACATACACTGGCAAGTATTACACCAATTAAGGTCAGAATCCCATCCCTCAGCAGGAGGTATGTCCTTAGAACAATTGCAGGCTCGAACAACCGAGCCAAACGAATACTAACGACTCCTTGCAATCGTCGAGGGCAAATACTCACCAGGCTTCCTAAAATAAAAGTTCCGTTCCCTCCAGCAAAACTTCTTCATTACACTGAACATGAACTCCCTGATGAGTAGGTATTTTGAAATTTTAGAATCATTCCCTATTAAATATCGCAGTTAACTACCGCACGACAAAATGCTGATAAAGAGCCGTTCCTACTGTATGGCTGGTATCCCCCGAAGTACCTCGTCTGACATGATTGGCAAAGTTCTCCCAAATTCCTCTTGTGCGTTCCTTACAAATCGTTCACACAGACACGACATCTTCTGAACTCCCCCTGCTTCTTAGTAGTAAACTACTTCTCCACCAAAACATCATTCATCTCGTTTGCTACAACCCCACTACTCCGAGAAAAAAAACAAAAGGAGTACCCCTTTCCTTGAAGAGGAGCTAAGCCTAAACAAGGTAAAAACCCTGGATCCAACAACAAATGATAAATAAAAAATATTGAAATTCAAATATTGTTAATATCTATAACTTCTTTGTGACCAAACGCAACCCGTAATACAGATTTTTGCACTGCGTGTGGCCTGACTATTATGGGCGGCCTGAAAAATCAATTATATTTTTGCAAAATTTTGGGACATGTTTTCGGTTAGGATTTCGGTGAAATAATTAGAAAAGAAGAAACACAACTGTTTATAATTTCCCATTGAGTTTTCTATGACCCTTTTGACGATTCACCACTCAGTATAAATAAATAGTATACTTACTGAATAATTTCGATGTTCAATGGGACAAAATTTGAACTTAAGTGCAAATTTTCCAAAAGGACTGATCTCTGCTTTGTTCTGAGTACATTCAAACACATTATATTTTAACTTCTTATAAATCCCGGTCATTTTTGATTTTTTTATTTCTATCGTGGCTGGAAATTGAGAGTGATTGTATAACCAAAAAAATTGCGTTGGTGGAATCCTAGTAGATAAGTGGACGGGTTTAAAAGCCATAATAAAATCAGTATTATAGGCAGATACTCTGCTTTCATCTGTGGGTATTCCGTATATACGAAAGTAGAGAGTGAATAATCTTTTATGACTCAAATGGATGTCGTACGCCACTGTCGTTTCTCTTAATATATGATAACTTATTGTGAATGTTATTATTTTGCTTGATTTTTTCTATAATAAATATATAAGTAAATAAAAATATTAGTATCTAGTTTTATTCAAATCATTAATGGTTGAAAGTTATGTTACATTGATACTATCAATAGAAATGAACAAACAATAATATCAAAAGAAAACAAAAAAGAATAATAAGATAAATAAAGACAATCCGTTCCCCAAATTGATCTATTGATAAGTACTAGAAAGCCTCTCAGTTCTAGAAGTGCTACATACAGTACAATAAGTAATAAGACAATCTAACAAGACTTGGTGCCGCAGAGTACAAAATTTTTTTCTCATGCTGCCTCGAGAAAAAGATACCAGCTACCACCAACATCATCAAACCTGTAATAATCCCCTTCTAATTATCTTCTTTCTACTTCTTTACGTTTTCAATAACAATTAAAGTTAATTTCAAAAAATAATTCACAAGACAGTCTAAATGGAAAATGGTTCAATTTCCCGTCTTCTCCATTCCAGAGATTAGACGTTTGGTGCTTGTTCCGACATCACTTTTGTATTTTGAGAACGATTTCCGAAGTGGAAATTGAAACGTCAATAAACGTACTTTAACCTTTAATTATGGCTTATTCCCATTTAAATAGTAAGTCTCTCTCTCTCGCTCTCTGTCTCTCTCTCTCTGTCTCTCTCTCTCTCTCTCTCTCTCTCTCTCTCTCTCTCTCTCTCTCTCTGGAAAGTCCTTAAAGAGTTAAAGAAAAAAAAATCCAAAGACAGGCCTATAACTCGGTTGTCAGGCCTATAATTTCTAAATATATGAACTGTAGATGTTAGGTAATTATAAAGAGTTAATAATTTTTAGATATGAAAACATGACTCTTCTGTGAATGACCCTCATGGCATAGCTGAATCTTTCAGTCAACATTTTTCGAATTCCGCAAAAAAATTAAATTAGTCAAACTTCACCTGACTATAATCCTAAGAATCTTTCTTACTCCCTTTTCCTTTATCCTGTTAGTAATGAAGAAATAAAGAGAATAATTAAAGATATCTCAAAAAAATCGTCGGCTGGACTGGATGAGATCCCGTATTCTATTAATTACTATTAAACTGGGAATAAGCCACAATTAAAGATAAAAATACGTTTATTGACGTTTCAATTTCCACTTCGGAAATCGTTCTCAAAATACAAACAGTAAATTAAACAAATTTTGTTTTTTGTTACATAGTGAAAAATTCTTCTAATAATTTAATTTTATCTGACTCATTTATATTGACAATTCAGACATACATTATGCATTTTAAAGTAGACGACTTTAAAATGATATTGCCAATATTGTTAAGTTGCGCTCCTGGGACGACTTTACTTATAAGATAGTTCATTCGATTACATGAAATCAACTTTAACTTGAGAATATCCGCCAGAAAAAAATCATAGCATGTAATTCGTCTTTAAAAAGACAAACACATGACATGATGACAGTAAAATTCTCCTGTTAGTGATTCCATAGTAAATTATGAGGGAAAAACCAGGAAAAAAACCTCATAATACTATCCCGACATTGTAAGTATTTGTTCGTGAATTTAGTTTATCTTCAACAAACATCAAAATTCTGATTTTATATGTTACGTTATTTAAAAAACATAAATGATGTATCCTTTATATGTTACTGACTTACTAATACTGGTATTTTCTTATTAATAACTTCCTCTTTCAATATTGGTAACCAGATCCTACTACATTCTGCCGAGGAATTTGCGACAGAATTGGCCTCATTTAGCATAATTAGAGCCGCTTCTTTGATTTTTCTTTTTTTACCATCCATTTCGTTTAGGACTACATTTGAATTATTCCATTGAACCCTATGTTCATTATCCCATGCGTGTTTACAGATTTGAGATCTATCAAATTCCCTATTTTTAATATAAGATTGATGTTCACTTATTCTAACATTTAATGGCCTTGATGATTCACCTAAATAAAACTGATCGCATTCACAAGGTATTTTATAAATGCAATTCTTTGTCCTTTCTTGTTCATTGTTAGGTTTGGTTTTGGACAAAATAGATCTCAACGTGTTTGTTGTTTTGAATGTTGTTGAAATGTTGAATTTATTTCCTATCCTTTTAAGTTTTTCTGATAGTCCTTTTATGTACGGTATTGTTATTTTCCTCATATTATTCCTTGTGTATGCTGTAGGATCTCGTTCCAAGTTGTTCTGTTCTATTCGATCGATTGTTGAAAATTCCTTATTTATAAACGATAAAGGATAATCATTTTTTAATAAAACAGAAGTTAACAAATGTTTCTATGTTTTTCACTATGTAACAAAAAACAAAATTTGTTTAATTTACTGTTTGTATTTTGAGAACGATTTCCGAAGTGGAAATTGAAACGTCAATAAACGTATTTTTATCTTTAATTGTGGCTTATTCCCAGTTTAATAGTAATTAATTTACAATGCCACAAGAAAATAGCTTTAGAACAATACCCGTATTCTATGTTATCACATGTATCTCATCACATATATAAACAAGTAACATTTCTAGTAAACCTTCCATTTCAGGAAGGGATTTTTCCTCAAATTCTAAATACTGCTTTAGTTGTGCCTATACATAAAAAATGTGACAAATCACAATTTGATAAATAGCCACTTCACTAAGTTGTTGGGTTATTATCTGGATTCTAATTTGTCCTGGAGCTCTCACGTTGATTATGAAGTAGGAAGATTGCCTGTGCACTGCTATGTTCTATGGCAACTTAGGAATTTTGTCTTCCTAGATATCTTAAAACTTTACTATTTTCCTCATGTACAGTCAATTTTGCAATTTTGCTTAGTTTGTTGGGGAAATTGCTCGCGAATTAATGAGGTGCTTGTTCTTCTTCTTCAAAAAAAACTATTCGTACCATGACGTTTAGAAGGCGCTTGGATTCCTGCAGACCAGTTTTTAAACAATTAAATATTTTAACTGTAATTTCACTGTATATTTTTAGTTGTGTTATTAATGTAAAGTCACATAAATGCAATTTTATTTGCAGAAGTGATGTTTCCTTAATGAGTGGCTACACTTTTCATTACAGAAATGATTTGGTGACCCCTGTTCGTCACTTGACCGTTTTAGGCAACGGTCAAGTGACGAACATGCCAAATGGACAAGCATGCCCAACATGCGTTCGTTTGTATAATAAATTACCTAATTATATTAACGAGTCAAATATTTATGTATTTAAGAGAACAGTTAAGGACTTACTTCTGGCTAACACTTTCTATTCGTTAGAGGAATACTTGCAGGCATCTTTTTAACAATTTGTATCTTTTTGTGTATATTTTATGTTAACTTATAGTTTTTACTTTTTTTACTACCTATGTACCTATAGTTTTTAGATTGTATTTTGACGCATTTCAATACTTGTAAAAGTTAGATGAAATAAAAAAGAAATAAATATTGATTAATTGAAAATAATATTAATCATATTGTAGGTTAACCTGATATATACGCAAACAGAGCCCAAACATATAACTTTATTTTAAACTACCAGGATCATTTGACTAAATTTTTGTTTTTGAGACCATTGAAAATCAAAACAGCACTTGAAGTGGCTGACCACGTGGTTGATCTTTTTTGTTTAGTAGGTGCTACATATATCTTGCAAAGTGATAATGGCCGTGAGTTTGCCAACTCAGTTATTGTAGAACTAACTACTATGTGGCCTGGTCTGAAAATGGTTTACAATCGACCAAGACACTCACAAAGTCAAGACTCTGTAGAGAGGGCTAATCATGATGTCCCGGATATGTTAATTAACTGGGTAAACGATAATAATAATACAAAATGGTCCGAAGGGTTGAGATTTATACAGTCCAAGAAAAACAGATCTTTTTATAGAAGAATGGGTAGGACCCGTTATAAGGTCATGTTTGGCATCAAACAAAAAATGGTTAAGAAGATGCAGACCTTCCGAAAGATGTCCTTGATAAAGTACAAAATGAAGAAGACTTGGAAGAATTAATCACTAGCATGGAAAACGAACATGATAAGAAGAAAGCAATTGTGTAAAACCCTGTCAAGAGAATTTACCTCAAATAATAACCTGATTAAAAATAATGATGATGCGCCTAATATACCAGGAGCAAAGTTAACGGCAATTTCAATGATTAGTTAACCAAAAGAAGTAAGAGAATATTGAATGAGAGAGAAGAATCACATAAAATGATGAGAGTTCAGGCATCAAAGATGATAATATGTGAGTCAGATAAAAGATTTAACCCTTAAAAGAAGTGACTAATGTTTTGATTCGAGTGCCGGAAGCTTGTAGAGGCCGAATAACTCCAAGAAATGTATTAGCCATTATATCCACAACGCGTTCTGTGTACATCAAAAATACTCGAAAAGCGATGTGAGAAATAAACGAAATACACAACGCGTTATGGGTATAAATTTCGGTCAATGGCCGAATTCGGTTGTTGCGTGTGACATATATACTTAGGACAAAAAAATCGAACTATCTAAGCTTAACTTAAAGGCTGATTTAAATAGAAGATGTTCCTTAACATGGACACCATTATAGGATTACAAACAGTATTTAAATCAAACTTACCATTTCGATTAGTATGTATTGCCGAGTCTGACATATGGAACTGAAACATGGGCTTCTAACATCAACGTAATCCAAAAACTTCAAGTAACTCAGAGCTCTATGGGATGGAGAATGCTCAGGCTAAAGCTCAGTGAAAAAGCGCGAAACGCGTTCAACAATATGAAATAGTGGTTCACAAGCAAAATCTCAATGGAACTAAAATTAAGACTGGTCAAGTGTTATGTCTTCCCGGTCTTGTTCTATGGAGCAGAGGCATGGACCACAACGGAAGCCACCCTAAAGAAACTAGAATCCTTTAAGCTGTGGATATATCGCCGTATTCTTCGGATATCCTGGACAGACCACATCACTAACGTGGAAGTAATGCAGAGAATAGGCAAAAGCAAAGAAATAATCTTCACCGTAAAGAAACGGAAGCTGGAGTACTTCGGACATGTCATAAGGCATACTAAGTACCGGCTGCTACAGTTAATAGTCCAAGGAAGAACCGACAGTAGGAGGGGACCGGGAAGAAGACGACATTCATTGATGGATAACCTGCGACAATGGTTCGTACCAACATCGACCGAACTGTTCAGAGGTGCCGTAAACAAAGTCAAAATAGCCTTGTTAATAGCCAACGTCAGAAACGGATAGGGCAAAGGAAGAAGAAGAAAGCTCAGTGTTCTCAAATCCAATGAAGAAATAAGAACACGATCAAAAGTAACAGATTTAACCCAGAAGATTGCCGTGCTAAAATGGAACTGCGCAGCACACATAGGAAGAATGGAAGGTAACCGGATGAAACGAGATATCGAATCACGAAGAAGAACAAATAAGAGAAGTAGAGGTAGACCTCACCCCACTGATGTCAATCGAATTGCTGCTTACGAATGGATTCAAAAAATAACGAATAAAAATGAATGGACACACATATCACATGATGATAGATTAAATATTGTATAGTGTCCTTAAATATTATCAAATTTAAAGTGATATGAGATATAAACATTCCTATTTCTAAAAAAATTTTGTTACAAATTTCGTATGTATCTATGTTATTATGAATAATTTACCTCAATCTGCTCGTTTGTAGTTTCGATCATTACTACTTTTCTATGTGGACAATCGTAAAGCAATTTAGTCGTATTAAACGTAATTAAAGTTTGTTTAGTTTCACAATTGCAAACCTTTTTTCTTTTAAAAATAATCTCCGTATCGAATTGTGTAGGATTCTCCACTAATAGCGTAAGATAATGTGTTGATCCTACGACACAATCCGGCATCTGTATATTTATCGAATCTGAATTGTTAGGCTCGACTTCGTTAAATTGTTCGTTTAACCTAAAATTGTTTAGTGTTAAAGGATTAGGCGTTGTACTGTTTTTAGTATAAAATTCTGACATTAATATTCGTATTTATAACAAAAATATAAAGTACATTCGTTCAGCAAATTCTCAACTGTCAACAAATGCACTCTGCTGTTGATATTCGCCCTCTCATTCGTCAAGAGGTTATTAAATATAATTTATTGCCTTAAGTTAGACGAATTCTCATTTTACAGGTCCAAACTTGCTAGTCTGTGTAAATTCAAATTGTATTTTTAACGTGTTGGTTTTTAAGTTAATATATTGTGTGTTATATGTTATAGTTATTGTTAAGTTATTTACTGGTCGTGTTATTTTTAGAGTTTAATTTAAGTGTTTAGTATTAAGTTTTATGGTGTGTAGTGAACTTTTAGTATCCAAAAACAAGGTAGTTGTTAATTAAAAGTAAAAATAGCTTGCGGTAATCACTTTAATAAAAATAAGAGAAACCAATATTTTAATTTATTAATGTTTGGAGAAGTTTTATTTCCTTTTTAGTCCATTTATTCACGGTTTTTGCTGTAAATATTAAAGAACCGCTTGGATTGACATGAAATTTGGCATATACATAGCTAACGGCAACGAAAAAAAAAAAAAAAAATGATATTATGCCGATGTGTGCTTTTGCCATGGGGGTGAGTTTCACCCCTTCTCGGGTGTGAAAAAACATGCGTTCAAAATAAGTCCAGCATTGAATAAACTGACTAATTCTAAGCAACTTTTATTTTATAGTTTTTGCACAAAGTCAATATTTATCGAGTTATTTGCGAGTGAATATGATCAGTTTTCCGCAAATAGCTCAAAAAGTAAGTATTTTATCGAAAAACACTTTATTCTTAGCAAAAATAAAGCTTATAAAAAAGTTAACAAAAAATGATGTACTCATACCTATATGAAATCTGTAGACTCAGTAAAAGCAGAGTTGTAGCTAATAAAAAGTAATTAAAATTTCAAATCGAATATTTCAACGAGAAATATAAAAACAATGAAGCACTTTTCGGAGAAATACGCTCTCGGGGAAAGTACTTATTTTTTATTCTTTCACATTGAAATATTCGATTTTGAATTTGACGAATAAGAACCTACTTTTTATTAGCTTCAAATATTGTTATTCAAACGTGTAGATTCAAGTGACCATCATGCCTAGATGTAAGTTGGATATTGATGAGTTAATTGCAAATGTGCATAAATACTTTACCATAGAATGAGACAATGTGGACCTTTAAAGTTATTATTATGTATAAATCAACGCGTTTGTGACGTACTCGGGATAAAAGATTCTTAAGAAGATCTTACTGTGACTGAGTATCACGAAGACAAGAAAACAACTCGTAATTATTCTAGCAGTATTGACCTACCTGATGGAGAAACATTTGAAATTCACAATAATTTGTATCGAATGCGTGAAAACAATGTCAATTTAGATACTTTACTGGAGAAAATAAGAGAAAGTCAAGTTTCTGAAATTAAGACGACTAGCCTTTGTCAAGTGTTAAGAGATTTAGGATTTAAATTCACAAAAGATAATAATAGGTTACTTTTATGCGAAAGGAGCAGTGTGGTTCACAAAAGAGTTAAATTTTTGAGAGAATATCCTAGACTTAAATCTGAAAATGCAACATTCGTATACTTAGATGAGAGACATGGATATTTGCAAAGTATGGAATTAAAAGAATTTGGCAAGACGACAGCATAAAATCAATAAAACATACAGATAGCGAAGGCAAAAGACACATCATTCTTCATGCAGAAGGGGAAGAGGGCTTTATAGAAAACGTCGAGTTGATTTTTTCTTCAAAATCAAAATCTGCTGATTGGGATGAAAACATGAATGCAGATATGTTTGTTAAATGGCTTGAGGAGAAACTGTTACTTACTCTGAGTGAACCATCAGTTATAGTTTTAGATAATGCACCTTACCATTCGGAGATTTTGGAGAATTAACCAAAACACTCGTGGAACGTGCCGAGCATAAAAATTGGTTAGTTAAAATTAATATTAATTTTCGGAATACGCCTTCAAATCAGAGTTACTAGAAATTTCGAAACGTAATAAAAAATCAAAAGTTTACTACGGTTACCGTCGTATCACTGCCAGATTAATCCCATCGAACACATCTGGGATATATGTAAAACGTATTATGATAATCACGCTTGATGCAGTGGATACAGTGATGATGCAGTTAGAGAAATGTGGCAAAAATTAATTGAGTGATTATAGATTTACATAATGATAGTGGTAGTGAAATTAGTGACGATGATGATGATTTATAAATTTAAATAATCAGTAAGTACACTATTATAATGTTATTTATAAAATAATTATACCGCAGGTTTACGATTATATTTATACATTCATTATTAGCCAAATAAACAACATTTACAATTCCATTTGAATTTTTGCTCCTCATTTTATACAAATTAACTCTAACTGATAATAAGGCAAAATATTCTAAACAAAGTAAGTAACTAAAAAGATTATAGAGAACTCCAGTGCAGTTTACCGTGCCTTTTACTACAACGGAAAATTTTCTGCGAATTCCATTAATCATTTAAAGATGTAAGTTGGTTGAATGTGCTGTAGAAGCTGACGACGGTCTCGTGCGTTCAGACTTTGATTGATTATTATCTTGGACTACTTTACTTGTGCTACAGCGGTGCCTTTTATATTTTAATGACATGTAACTAGAGGTGTCAATTCTCTAATTATGTTCTTGGTTTTTCAACTTAAGACGTTTGTAATATTAGTAACAGTACATAATATTTTGCAGATGCTTATTATTTTACTAGTGACTGTGCCCGTCGCCATGCAATGGTTTTAAATAAATTTATGTTCGTTTTTAGTTTGTACAATTCATCTATGTCTGGTATACTGCACAAAACTGATTTTTATTAGTATTATTTACTTACAAAAAATACTTACTTTATTGAAACTTTTTGAAAAACTAATGAATGAGCGTCTATGTATCCAAAAAAGTAAGCGACTCTCAGCGAAATACTACCTATGTAATCGGCAGTTACCGTGTTAACTCCATACTATTTGCACAGGCCCTCTGGTAACCAATGCAAACATTTAAATGCACTATGGAATAACTTCGATAATCCAAACTGTTTGATAGTTATTGCGGATGACACGTCACTAATAAAATGACGATGAACATGACGTTAATAATAATTCTACAAACCTGTCGATTTTCAGATACTCCCAAAAATGCAACTTTGTAAATAGGGCACCAAAATTATGTTCGACGACTTCAGCGATCTAGAAAATATTCTAAAATTAGTCACAACTCATTATACAAACTTTACTTAAAAATTTTTTAAAACAACGACAGAAAAATTAAACAAAACTAGAAACTCGGAAATGAAAGTGTACACTTGTGATTACTTAAAGTAGGTTTTATCGTAAATAATAATCTTCTTCGCCTTCTCCCTCTTTATAAGCAATTTTGCTTGTTCATTGGCGGATTAATACCTCTATGGAAGGTTGTCACTCCATCTTTTGCGCGGTCGTCCGATACTTCTTCTGCCGATTGGTGACTTATATCTTGCTATTTTGACGACACGGACCCCCTTCATTCTGCTTATGTGTTTATTCCATTCTTTTTTTCTATTTTGTGTCCATTCATTCATACACTGTACGTTACATTTCTAATATCTTCACTTCTCTTTCGATCTCCCAACGTATTTCCTGTAATTCTTCTCTCTACTCTCTCTACTCCGCCGTTTCCAGTATCCTTTGCGTTGTAGCTGTGTCAGGTCTTGTTTCTGAAGCATATGTCATTATTGGTTTTACAATAGCTTTATAAATTATTGATTTTATCTCAGTGTTAATGTAGCTGTTTCGCCATAAAGTATTATTAAGGCATCCTGCCAGTCTATTCGCTTTTTGTACTTGATCTCTCACTTCTTAGTCCAGATTCCCATAGCTAGACAGTGTAATACCCATGTATTTTATTTTCATCCATTTTATGTTCATGATCAACTGACAGATCTTAATTTGGAAACGCACGCACGCATTGTCTGAAGAAGCATGCATGCTTGTAAATAGCAATGAACGGATTGGCACCTGATATGCCAGACACGAACTCTCCAAATTTCAATCTGATTTCAATCTGATTTCGATAATAATATATATAATACTGGATTAAGGCTATGGGAAGTAAAAATTCTGTAGGCTTAATTCCAGATACTCACAGGCGTTATTCATATTATGAGTTAAGCTGCTGTGATACTGCGACAACAGCAGCGTCTGACCCAGAGTGGGCGGCTGCAAACAGAGTCTGTTCCCAGAGTGGGCGGCTGAAACACACTTACCAACCCGTCTGGCCAGCGTGGTGAGTTCATGGCCAATCTACCCCCCTCTTATGACAGATACACGTAAGAATTGGCCCTCAGTCCCCAGCAGCTCCGGAGTCACCTTCCAAGGCAATGGTAGGATCGAGGAAAGAGCAGAGGGTGCTAAAAATCTCTGGGTTTTAGAAGATTGCCAGAAAAAACGAAAACAAGCAACGAAACTGGATATTGCGACTTATAATGTCAGATCACTGATGAGAGACGAAAAGCTAGCCGAACTGGAAGAAGAAGTAAAAAAGATGAAATGGGATATATTAGGATTAAGTGAGATAAAAAGAAAAGGGAAGCCTGTATGAAGTTGGAATCCGGTAATGTACTATACTATAAAGGAACTGAAGAAGAATCATTAGCTGGTGTCGGTTTTCTTATTTCTAATCAGCATGTCCATAAGATTAGACAATATATTGGAATTTCAGAAAGGATCGCGGCTCTAATAATGGACATAAATAAAAATATAAGTTTAAAGATCATACAAATTTACGCCCCTACATCATCACATACGGATGAAGAAGTGGATATATTCTACGAATCATTGACACAAACAGTGAACAAATACAAAAGCACCTACACAATCATTATAGGCGACTTCAATGCCAAATTAGGGAGAAAACTAGAAGAATCAGAAAATAAAATCGGCAACTTTGGATATGGGACACGAAACGAAAGAGGAGAAACATTAATGAATTATATGGAAACGAACGGTCTATATGCGATGAATACCTTTTTCAATAAAAAACCACAGAGAAAATTGACGTGGGTCGCGCCCAATGGTTTAACAAAAAATGAGATTGATTACATCCTATCCAAAGAAAAGAGCATAGTACAAGACGTTACGGTCATAAACATGATTTCCATAGGAAGTGATCACAGAATTGTTAGAGCCAAAATCAAAATTAACTCCACAACAGACAGACAAAAATTTAAACCATCTAAAAAAGAGATAGATACAGAACTTCTTAAAGAACGCAAAGAACAATACATAAACCAGCTAAAAAGAAGTGACATATCACAGCTAAAGGGTCTGCAACTAGACGAATTAAAAGATAAAATAACAACAGAACTACTAAAAGCAGGCCTTAAGATTGCTAATGAATAAAAGCGAAAACAACAAAAAATTAGCGCTAAATCACAAGATATGCTAAAAAAACGACGACAACTACTGAACGATAACAAAAGAAATACAGTGGAGTATACCGAACTGAATAAAACCATAAGAAAACAGATAAAGGAAGATTTAAAGAAATACCAAGAAGACCGCATTAAGAAAATCATAGAGAAGAACAAAAGTTTAAAAACAATGAAGACAAATATAGGAAAAAGAAAACTAATTATGCTTAAAGCTGAGAACAATGAAGAAAGAGATCTAGGAGAAATAGTAAAAATCACAGAATTACACAGACCTATACAGTTCTAAAAATGACCCACCACTATCATCTAAACAGAATCTCACGAGGAAAATACAAAATGTTGGCTCAGAGTTATTACCAGAAATAACTGAAGATGAAATCGAAAAATCCATAAACGACATGAAAAGAAATAAAGCGGCCGGTGAGGACAAAATACTGGCGGAACTGCTAAAAGAAGGAGGAGACACGATAAAAAAAAATGCTAAAAATACTGTTCAACAAATGTCTGTTTGAAGGTAAAATACCCAAACAATGGAGAAATGCCAACACAATCTTAATACATAAGAAAGGAGACCGAACAGACCTAAACAACTACCGTCCTATTTCCCTTTTGTCACAACTATATAAAACCTTCACAAGAATAATAAACAACCGACTAACCTATAAACTTGATAACTACCAACCAGTGGAACAGGTCGGATTCAGAAAAGGATACAGCACAATCGACCATCTACATACGCTTAAAATCTTAATTGAGAAAATTAATGAATACAACCTTCCGCTGTACTTAGCATTCGTAGATTATGAAAAGGCTTTCGACAGCATTGAACACTGGGCGGTTGAAGAAGCTCTGGTCAATAGTAGAATAGATTCAAGATACCGACAATTGATACATGATATTTACCAAAACGCAACCATGACCGTAATTCTGGACGACAAATTAATAACGGATAATATAAAAGTTAAACGAGGAGTCCGACAAGGCGATATAATTTCACCTAAACTGTTTACCTTGACCCTCGAAGACATAATAAAATCAACAGATTAAGAAAACAGAGGAATATGTATTAACGGGAAATACCTAAATCACCTTAGATATGCGGATGATATACTCCTGATTTCCTCGGAACGACAAGAACTGGAATTAATGCTGAATGACCTTCATGAAAAATCACTGCAAAAAGGCCTAAAAATTAACTTCAACAAAACAAAAGTAATGACAAACACGGAAGACCAAGAGGCAATAAAAATAAAAACAGAAAAAATAGAACAGGTAAATGAGTATATCTATCTAGGACAAGCAATCAGAGCTAATAGAGAAAATCAAACAGCCGAAATATCGAGACGAGTAAGAATGGGATGGGCAGCGTTCGGCAAACTTTCTTACGTTCTAAAAAATCAAACAATCCCTCTATACTTACGAAGCAAGGTATATAACTCTTGTATCATACCGGTGCTCACCTACGGAGCACAGACATGGACATTTACACAGGCCAATTTGGATAGGATAAGGAAGGCACAAAGAGCGATGGAGAGACAAATGTTGGGTGTATCACTTAGAGATAGAAAACGTAACCAGTGGATCAGAACCAGAACAAAAACAGTAGACGCGATAGAACAAGCAGCAAAACTGAAATGGAAATGGGCTGGACACAATGAACGTCTCCAAGACGGACGATGGAACAATGCCATCGGAAAGTGGCGTCCATACAATGCAAAGAGATCAAGAGGCAGACCACAGATGAGGTGGAAAGATGACATCAGGAAACAAGGAGGTCCCACATGGCAGAGAACAGCTCAAGATAGGGAAAGATGGAGAGAACTGGGGGAGACCTATATCCAACAATGAAAGGATAGAGAATAGGTTCAAAAAAAAATATATATAATACCACAAAAAACTCTTAAAGTTGTAACATAGGTATCTCTACTTTACTTCTTTTAAAAACACCATAAATAAGCCCATGTAAACACTGCCAAAACGATGATTGAAACGGAATAATAAAATCTAATTCCAAATTATATATATATATATATATATATATATATATATATATATATATATATATATATATATATATCGAGAAAAGGAGTACGACCGTCAATCCAATATACAATAAGGATCACTTAAAGAGTGATGGGTTTTTCGGTCAAAAGGTGGAGAAAAAAGACAAAGAAGGTGGCTACGTTATCTATTTATTGAAGACGTCTCGCTTTACGAACGTATACTGTTCGCATACGAACAGTATGAAAAACCAAACATCCATAGAAAAGTTAATACACTTGTGTTACCTCAAAAAGACATGTAGCAGTCAATGATCTTAAATGTGTTTGATAAAAAAGTTTACTACAATGGACATTCTGAGATCATGTTGTATAAACAATTAATTGAAACTAGATACAGTTTACAAATTAACAAATTTAGCACAGCACAAAAACATGTGGTAATTGTACATGTATATAAAAAATTATGTAAAAAAAATTTAAGTGAAAAACATTACTATTAGTATGCAAGAGAACTAGAAAGATCGTAAGATGCACTTCCAACAATATATATATATATATATATATATATATATATATATATATATATATATATATATATATATATATATATATATATATATATATATATTGTAGTTTTGATAAACTTAGAAATGATCCTACCAATATCTTCCAAAAAAGAAATAATGCTCTTATTGACAGATGGGACAAAAGTGGATATATATCACCAAATACAGCTAAATCACGTAAGATACACAACGCTATTCCACCAAAAATTTATGGTTTACCTAAAACACACAAGGAAAACATACCTCTACGTCCTATCGTTTCCTGCATTCAATCACCCTCCGGAAATCTTTCAAAGTTCTTGAAAAACATTATCTCCAATGTCATAAATAAAAATCCTTATTATATTAAAGATTCCAACGATCTTATTTCTAAAACTAAAAACATTTACGTACCGGATAACTATAAATTAATCTCTTTAGATGTCATTTCACTATACACTAACATCCCAATAAAACTTGCCACTGACATCATTAAAAAGAAGTGGAATGACATAAAAGAATACACTAACATCCCATTGGAAGAATTCCAATCATCTGTAGAGTTAACATTAAACTCAACATACTTTTTATATAAGGACGAAATATACAAACAAATGGATGGGATGGATGCGCAATGGGTGCCAGTATATCTAGTGTCATTGCCCAACTGGTTCTGGAAGACTTAGAAGAATCTGTCATGAGTCATTTAGATTTTAATGTACCATTCTTCTACCGCTATATCGATGACTGTGTCTGTGCTATTCCAACAAATAAAACAACCGAAATCTTAGATATTTTCAACAGTTACCATCCAAAATTAAAGTTCACTATAGAAATTGAACAAAATAATAAAATAAACTTTCTGGATATCACCTTACATCGCATTAACAATACAGTTAAAACCATGTGGTTTACAAAAGAAACATGGTCTTCACGATATCTTAACTACAATTCCCATCATCCATTTTCCCATAAGAAGTCTGTAATTATAAGTCTCGCTGATAAATCTATAAAACTAACAGATCCAGAATACAGACCAACTGCAATAAAAAAAAGCAAAAAATGCCCTTCTAAAGAATGCATATCCCGAACATCTAATCGAAACTATTTTCTAATCAAGACTCAATAAATTTTACAACAATACAACTAACAACAAACCCAACAGTATCAAAACCACTTATACAACTCTTCCATATATAAAAGGTTTATCCGAACAACTAACAAATCTTTTAGCCAAACATAATATAACAGTAGCCCACAAAGGCAACAACCTCTTAAATAAATACTTCACAAAACTAAAAACACAAACTCCAAAACTTAAAAAATCACATGTTGTTTACGAGATACCATGTACAAACTGTGAAGGTGTCTATATCGGTCAAACCAGTCAACTGCTTCAATCCAGAATTCGTTCTCACAAATACGACAAGAACAACGTCACTGCGCTCACAAAACATGAAAGCGGGAAGAAGCATAAATTTGACTTTGAAAACACTAAAATTTTAAAAACAGAAAAAAACATAAAGAAAAGGGAGATATACAAATCAATAGAAATAAAAAGAAACACCAACGCAATAAATGACAAAAAAGATACACAAAACCTAAATAAAATATATTTCAATCTGATTTAAACAATAACAATATAACATCATAAAAAGCTCTTAAAGTCATAACATATCTCCACCTTACCTTTATAAACCTATCTCCACCATATAAAAATAATTATATACTAATGACAGTAAACAATGAGATATCAGATATCAACTTTTATATGTCAGTTTGTTAATGTCTGTGTCACGTTTTACGTTTTGGTAAGTCATATATATATATATATATATATATATATATATATATATATATATATATATATATATACATATTTTACAATATCTGTTTGTCCTTATATATATACACATTTTAGAATCTTGACAAAGGAGAAAGAACCTAACCCAAGAAATATTAATTTTATATATATATATATATATATATATATATATATATATATATATATATATATATATATATATATCTTACCTGGATTTTTCCGACAGTTGTATGGTAAGCAATAGCTAATAGAAATATGTTCGAAGTTGAATTTTTCTCTAAAATATTTCTCTGTGAATATTCTATATTGAAGTTATTGTCTCCCATTGTTAGGCATTGTATTTTTAAGTTAATCTGTAAAATAGAAGTTAATGATAAATTCCTAATATTAGTAAAAAGAATAACAGATTTTTCTGAAGCTGGTCGGATTGCGACATAGACTATTTTGACGTTTCGGTCTTCAAGTTTTCATATATAATGGTCCAATTAAATGAACATTATTGATATAAATCTTTTGCTAATGAATCGTTTAACAGTTGGTTAAAAGTATTTCAAGATAATTGGCCAGACAATAGAATATATTTTATATATAAGTTATTACTTATAAAAATTTGCAGAAAAGTCGAAGATACATCGAGCTCAAATCACCGACATATTAACTTTACCTTATTTTTTTTATAGCCTTTTTTCTATCCGAATTGTCGAATAAAGGCCTCTCCCATTTCTCGCCATTCATCCCTGTTGTGTGCTTGGCGTTTCCACATTGGTCCTGCTACTCTTTTGATATCGTCGCTCAAGCGCATTTGAGGTCTTCCTCTTGGTCTCTTTGCATCGTACGGTCGCCAGTTTCCGACTTCTTTGTTCCATCTACCATCTTCGAGACGTTCGTTGCGTCCAGCCCATTTCCATTTTAATTTAGCTGCTTGTTTCGCGGCGTCCTTTATTTTTGTTTTGTTCTGGATTGCTTCGTTCGTTTGCCGATCTATTAGTGAGATACCAAGCATCTGTCGTTCCATGGCTCGCTGAGTTTTTTGAATCTTGTCCATGTTCTTTTTTGTGAATGACCTGGTTTGAGCTCCGTAAGTGAGAACGGGAAGGATACAAGAATCGAACACTTTGGTTCGAAGGTGCATCGTAACAAAAATCTATAGGGCTAACATAATACTAGGTTATATACAAAGACGGACAACCGTAAGGGTGATGTACATACACAAAATAGGACGACAAGACAATACACAATACCCGGTAACCATTTCAAAAGTTTAAAAAAATTGTTATTTTAATTCCTGGTTAATATTCAAATGAATGTTACTCACGCCATCTATCCGCTGAGCGCGGAAGCATCTAAGCTACCTCAAAGATCAAACTATAGTTTTAATAGATCCGACCTTGGCCTACTCAAAATTAGAGCGTTGTCAACTCCCCGCCATTCATCCCCCTTTTCCTCTTTGAACGTCCAACAGACAGGACGAAATTTTGTTTTAGTGGTCTCTTGACGAGGTAAGCCGAAACATTTCTTTTCTCTTATATATTTTCAAATAAATATTTCTTTTAGACCCTTACTGGGAGCCCTAATAGTTGATAGAACTATGTTTATTGGCGCGATGTTATCTTCATTATGAATTTACGCTATCTGTTCTTAAACCAGAATGTATAGTGAGCCGCCATTGCATAAAACTTTCAACAATGCGTAGAATTACCGTTGTTTGGTATGACTGCCCTTTGTGGAATATCCCGTTTGCTTAGTCGCCCAATCCTACATATTTTTATGTTGGATATTATGTTTCTGCTGGCGATATATTCAACGTTCTGCCAGCCTGAGTACTGGGTTGGTAAAAATTAAATCCTTTCTTCAAGCCACACAAGCTTTTGGATAATTCAGATTGTACCAATTTTATATCTTTTTATTGAGCAGTGAAGATTATTTATCTATGAACTAAATAACAGTGAAGTGATTTATTATTGATCCTTTAGTTCTACATAGATATCTACATAAGATATAAATATCTACATTCTACATAACATACCTACTAATATATTTTTTTATGTGACCGCATTTCGAAATTTGGGATAAATTAAAATTTTATTTTCATATAAGTATTTCTCATTCATGATCTAATGCCAAGATATCAAATGTTTGTTTTCTTACGATATGATTTTAATTTTAGTTTCGTATAAACACTTCCCATTTGTAATTTTCCACCTTAAATAGAGACTGTTTATTTCTTTTCTGGGATGGCATAACCTTTTAACGTTATATAAATTTAACGCAAATAACTTTCTGTTCGTTACAAAATAATAAAGGTCAGCTTTGTTTTAAATTTTTCACTTTATTTCTTTGTCTGAGCTCGTTTCCTTACGAGGGTAAACTATTATGGAATGGCGCTCAATTCGTTTTAACTTTAAAGATCATCCAAACATATTGTATATGAATTTTCAGTTGAAAACAATAGAAAAATTCTTGTGGTAGAAACTTTTTGTTCCTGTATTTTAGATATTAGTAATAATGTATATTAGAAACAAAAAAATATTGTAATATAAAGACTTTTCTTAATAATCAATAAAATTAATTATTATGTAAAATTTACCTGCAAGTGTTGGCTGGGTCCTATATCTCCTGAATTAGGCACGATAGTGATCTTGTCATTGTTTGATTGTAATGAATTAACGTGAAGAAGGAAACTTACGGAAGATTGACCAAAGTTGAATATGTTAAAGTTACTTTCGATTATGGCTCCAAATTCGAAGACATCAAAACTATCAGATAATGGGGTTGCCTAAAGCACAAAAAATCCAATACATAAATTAAGTACTTTAAAAACTTAAACTTTTATTGGTTATAGAGTGATTATTGGATAAAGATTTTTTTATGATGCCTATTCATTACGGGTATTGAACACTAACATATCTATTTTGACTATGTTGGAAATATTCTTCTTTCTAGTCCTCTTTTTCTATGTACCTTACTTTGAAATATAGTCTGAAGTATTGTTCTGAAACTATTTTCTTGTGGCATTGTAAATTAATTACTATTAAACTGGGAATAAGCCACAATTAAAGATAAAAATACGTTTATTGACGTTTTAATTTCCACTTCGGAAATCGTTCTCAAAATACAAACAGTAAATTTTATAAATTTTATAAATTTTAAACAATTTACTGTTTGTATTTTGAGAACGATTTCCGAAGTGGAAATTGAAACGTCAATAAACGTATTTTTATCTTTAATTGTGGTTTATTCCCAGTTTAATAGTAATTAATAGTCTGAAGTATTCCAGGTATTCAATTTGCGACGCTTTATGCTTATGACTAGTTCGCACCCTTTACCCCTTCTGCGTAAAACTTCTCTAGTAGCTTTGTCTATCCAGAAAACCCTTAACATGCGTCTATAGCATACATTTTAAATGCGTTCAGTCTCCTCAGTAATGCTTTTATTAAGAACCATGACTATACTCACAGAAGAACGGAGAATACCTAGCATTTCAGTAAAAGAAATCTTATTTCCAATTTTATGTCGTGACCGTTGGTTTTTTTTTTAAATTTTGGTGAAAATTGATCTATTCTCTCTATTCGGATTGCCGAATTCATCTCTGTTGTTTGTAAGACGTTTCCACATTAGCCCTGCAGTTCTTTTAATATCGACGCTCCAGCGCATTTGCGGTCTTCCTCGTAGTCTTTTGGCTTTATATGGCTGCCAATTTCCGATTTCTTCATACCATCGGCCATCCTTAAGACGTTCATTATGTCCAGCCCATTTCCATTTTAGATTAGCTGCCTGTTCGACAGCATATTTTGCTTTTGTTCTTTTACGAATGTCTTCATTGATTTTATGAGTTTTGAGTGAGATACCCAGCATCGTATACAGTGCATTCCACGTGTCGGCTATTAGTGCTATATCATCTGCGAATCTAAGCTGGTTTAAGTATCTTCTGTTAATAGGGATTCCTTATTTTCACAGTCTATTGACTTAAAGATATCTTCTAGGGCAGCTGTAAATAATTTTGGAGATATTAGTCTTACTCCTTCGATTTCATTACCCAACGTCACTATCATTTCAGTTTGTTCGTAAATATTATGTATTAATATTCTGTACCTGGAGTCGATCCGGTTGTTGACTAATGGTTCTTCTATTGTCCACAGTTCTACGGTATCAAAAGCTTTTTTCTAATCTATAAAAGCCAGATATAATGGGAGATTGTCTTCGTTAGTCTTTTCTATTAGGATATTCAGAGTATATAGATGGTCACAGTGCTGTACCCCTTTCTAAATCCAGCTTGTTCTACTGATCTACTTACTTGGTAAGCCCTATCTTAACTTCCGTCAATTCTTTCCAACTATCTAATTACAATTAGTTCTTATAACCTAATATAAGTATAATTAATTTAATATAATTATAATTACAACCACCATAGTCGATCGGATAACCAAACGGGCTGGGCGGCTGGCTTCTCCTTCGCTTCAATGCGAGAGATGTCAGTTCAAATCCCCAGCTCGGTGTACAGAAAAACAAAAAGGCTAACGCAGCAGTTTAAAATTCTAAATGAATCTGCGGCTTAGTCTAGAATATGCTGGTATCTAATCGGCCTATGGTGGAGCAGTACGGCAAAAGATAAGGGCTTGCAGCTCGGTGATACTCCTCCATAGATCCCTACCGGAAGGGTGTGTGCCGCCTAAATACTGGGTATATATACCGGGTGGTGAATCGTCAAACGGGCCATAGGAAACTCAATGGGAAATTTTAAATTGTTGAATTGCTGCTTCCCTAATTATTTTAGATCAAAAATCATAAAAAACTATTTGTAGAAGACTAAATTCTAAATTAAAAACAAATGTTAAAACCGTTCTATGCATCAAATGTACTTTAAAATTTTGCAAAAATATAATAGATTTTTCAGACCACCCCTAATAGTTAGGCCACACGTAATCCAAGAATATATTATAACGTGTGTGTTTTATCATATTGATGTCAGATATTTGACAATTTTAATTGTCAATTTTTTTTTATTTTATGATTAAATTATAAACAATGAATTTTACTAAATACTACTACTACTGAACAATATTACTTTGTGAACAATAAATTGTATTGTTTACAAATCGATCAATATAATGAAATGTACTCAGTTGACGAAAAATCGCATAATGTTGTATTCAGGCAATAGCGCGAACCTTTTCCTGTCACTACCGGATCTTTATTTAATGTAAGATATTCTAATACACTAAAATTTAATTCCATGTTACGTTAAGTTATACAACAATTCAATGAATTCCAATATACTGTTACTGTGATCTTTATTCCTAATAATAATATACGATAATTTTTAAACATAAAACTATAACAAATGTTATAATAAAACATGAATAAAACATTTTTATTATTGCTCTTTTCTCCTTAACTGAGTACATTTTTTAATCAACTTGTTAGGTATATTACACATATTTTGCTGCAGTGTGAATAAATTTACTGGAACATTATGAACATCATCTGTGTAGAAGCCACTACGTTTGTAATTTTAGCAGAGACAATATTTTATTCTCACTTATTAGATATGATTTCAGTGATGATATCTGTATTAAACTCGACCATCTTAACTATAGTTCGTAAATGCTTTCTAGTTTTTCATATTAGTCAACTGAGCAATATAGACCGAAAAATTCAGAAAAATTCTTCAAATTATAACGATGAAAATGGCTTTTTATATCAAACTAGTTTTCCAGTCGTAAATGAAAGAATGCAAATTTTACTGAAAAATAGATCGAAAGAAACGATTCAATTGATACTTACACATAGTTGTGTATACGCTCTATCACAATAAACAATAAAGGGATGGTCGTAGTTCTGTCCAACAATTGCGTCCAACTTATGCTTTACATAAAGTTTGCAAACCATTTCCACAACCTTTGGTGCGCACGCTTTGGCGTGAAACAAAACAGTAATCGAGATTTCTTCGTAAGGTAAAACCTCCCCTGTATCTGGTATTATAGACACCAACTTATCAACTGGCGATATAAAAGTATAACTAAAAAAGGAAACAAATTAAAAATCATGTAACTCTTGTATTATAATAAAGAATATAAATGAGTTTTTTGATATTATGTGCAGACGCGTGGCATGATATTTTGTGTAATTAGTAATTAATAAAAGGGCTATGAGGGTTCGGCATATTTTCCTATGTTAAACCCCATAAGATTCATTCTGCTCATTTTTGGTCCCTTTATTGGTGAAATGGAAATCGAAACGTCAAATAAACGTAATTTCAATTGAAAATAATACTAGCAGTTGCTCTCAATCGTCCTTAATTCCTTCATGGCCAATGAAGAACCCTCAGTGCCTAACCCTCCTATTTTTTTCGACAAACATTCAACAAACCCAAAGTTAATCAAATCCGCCTTCAATGATATGCTTCACAACTACAAGGATTATACACAGACGCATCTAAATCAAATGAAGGTACTGGTACTGTAGTCATAACTTCAACATCGACAATTAATACAAACTCCCTTCAGAGTACTCCATTTACTCCGCTAAACTATCGCTCTATACCAGATCACCCTTGCTGTGAACGCATCCAATAATACCAATTATATTGTACTCACGGCCTCTCTAAGTTCTGTACAGTCAATCCAATATGGCTACTCAACTAATCCTTTGGTCATCAAGATAAAACAAGAAGTTCATACCGCTTAACTGAACGAAAAAAATATTATATTATTGTGGATAATAACATACATTATTATCCACATATGTACAACAATGCTGTAAAAGAAGCTGCAACTAGTGATAATGCGGAGTGTAGTGAAACATTAACGAGTGAGGACGTGGAAGTTGCGGTCAAATGTAAAGTGTGATATATGTGGGAAGAAAATTGGAAAGTGTCATCGGCCAAGCTACGCGATAGTAAAAAATCAATAAAGCCTGGCTCACATTACCAACAAGTCGGAGATTTAGGGTAATATTAACGCGATTGGTCATACGCAATTAACTAATAGCCATGTGTTTTTCAACAAACAAGTACCAAGATGTGATAACCGTAATAAAAAATTAATAGTCAACCATATATTAGAAAAATATAGCATTAACGCCAAAACACATGTTGTACAATATAGCCAACAAACTACATGATATTTTAGGTCTACAGTTCAATATATCAAACCTAAAAAGTTTCTTAACTTCAATTAATATTCTAAACTCAAAATCACAGGAGGAATCAAAAACTCAATTCAAACTTCTAAGCGGCGTTTTTGTACCTAAATGTAAACTTAATAAAGGTGCGTCCAGACATGCAACAAAACATCGTATCGTAACACCGTCACGCAACAATTGTTGTACGCATCGAAGTTACGGCATGATCAAAAATACAGGCGCAACAATACATCATCGCGTATCTTAGCAGCAGAACATACTGCCGTTCCGTCTGAATTGTCGTTTTCTAGTTGTGAGGTACAATTGGTACGAAATGGAGGTTGCTGCAGCAGCTTACATATTTATGCATTATTTCGTTAAGAACAATAAAAAAAGGCGGGTAGAAAGGCGCTGGTGGCAGAAAAAGTTGTATACTGTAAGAAAGGGATACAGTGGAAGACACTTACTACAGGATTTAAAATTTCAGGCAATTAGTGGCCTCTACAAAAATTTTACTAGAATGTCTCCAACAGACTTCGAGTATTTGATTAATGTAATTGGACCAAAAATAGGACGAAAAGATACTAGATGGAGAAAGGCAATTTCTGTCCAAGAAAGATTGGCAGTAACAATTCGTTTTTTGGCGACTGGTGATTCCTATACCAGTCTACAATATCTTTTTAAAATGTCTAAACAATCGATAAGTACTATAGTTCCTGAAGTGTGTAAAGCTATCGTAGAAGTATTAAAAGAAAGTATAGAGGTAAGAAACTATTTTATTAAACAAGTATATTAAACACTATTTCTAAAAATATTTTTTTATAAATCCCCTAATTCAATGTCGGGCATATCCAGTAATTGGTGTGGTAAAGAGGTAGTGACTGGAGTAGTGCGACTTGAATGAATCGAAATACTAGAACTATCATAAGTAGATGCTGGAGATGGTGACTGTGATTGTTGTTGAATAAAATTAGATCTTTGGCTATCCTGGTAGTGTTCAAATTGAGAATCTTGTGGCATAGAATTTGTGAAGTCTGACTGAAAATTATGAGTACGGTATGTTTGTAAATAATCCGAATTGATTGAAGTTTGCTTGAGATGGATCCTGTCTGCTTTAAATAAAACATTCATAATTTCTTGTTGTACATCACTTTGTAATTGAGAAGAATATTTGGCCAGTTTTTTAGCCACAAGATTTCCAATTATCTGACATTCGTTTTCTTCCCGTAGGTTATTGGCATTTGCTGATGCTTTGGACAATATTTTAAAAGCTTGATCTAGTTTCTCAGAATCTTCACTCTTCTTTTGGCGTTTTCTAGGTGTTACCTCCGTTTGTTTCCTTTTCGGTCTGTTTTCTATATTCTCTTGAATCTCTTGTGAAGCATAATTTTTATCGCTATCCGCTAATGTAGGTTCTTCACTCGGTATATCTTTTTCACCTTCACCTTCTTCATTATTTTCAATCTAAAATATTTAGTAGTATCATCTAACTTTTTTAAAATAAATATTAAGTAAAAAAGTTTAGTTAGGTAATAAAAACATTGCTGAATTTTTGACACAGTTGTTTATTTCAATTTTCAGATACCAACAACACCAGAAAAATGGATAGAAGTGGCAAAACAATACGAGAAAACCTGGAACTTTCCTCATTGTCTGGGTGCCTTAGATGGAAAACATGTTGTTTTACAAGCACCAATAAACACTGGAAGCGAGTTTTTTAATTACAAATCAACATTCAGTGTAGTTCTTTTTGCTTTAGTGGATGCTAATTACAACTTTTTGTATGTCAATGCTGGAGGCCAAGGAAGAATTTCAGATGGTGGTATCTTTAAAAATTGCTCTCTTTACAAAAAATTAGTACAAAATAATTTAAATTTTCCCGAACCGGAAGCTTTGGATGGCATGCCACGGAAAATTCCCTACTTTTTTATTGGAGACGAGACATTTGCTTTAACTGATTCATTAATGAAACCGTTTTCGAAATACATGCGAAAGGATCACCACGAAGAGTGTTTAATTATAGATTATCTCGCGCACGAAGAACTGTCGAAAATGTATTTGGCATTACCTCAGCCGTTTTTAGGGTACTTCCTAAACCAATGTTGCTTGAACCTAAGAAGGCCGAATTAATTATAATGGCAATAGCTCATCTACATAATTTTTTAAAGAAAAGTTCCACATCTGCTGCTCTGTATACGCCACGTGAAGCTTTCGATACAGAAAATGAAGGAACGCTTATAGAAGGAACCTATAAAACTATAACCAATGGAACCATGTCCTCATTACTTCCAATTAGAAATGTTCCCAGAAAACCCACCGCAAATGCAGCACTAATTAGAGACGAATTAGCAGCGTACTTTCAAAATAATCATCGACTTTTGTGACAAGATAATTATAATTAGGTATACGTAGTACTTAATTTAATACTCACAGTGCTTTGTGTTTCTCGAACCTGATTCTTGTTCCAAAGGAATTGCATACTTTTAAATGCATACCAACTACTTTCGTAGACATCTGAAAGCCCTATAAATAAGAAAACAATTTGTAATTCAAAAATACCTAAATAAAAATATATCAAAAGTAAATTAAAATTCACTCATTCAAACTTACCTTTTCCAGTACTGTGACTCTTTTTAATTCTGGCTTTCTCTCGCCTAAGTGCTGATAATAGAGTATTTATTTTTTTTTACATTCATCTACTGTCGTTTTAAATTCTACAGCAAGTTCTTCCCAAGCATCATGCTTTTTTATTTTATTATAATATTTCGGATGTTTTGTATCCCACAAAATATCTTTATTTTGGTAACTATTTATAAAATTAATAGAAGATTCTTCCGTCCACTCCATTACAATTGTTTCAACTAAATAAATACAACGGAAGATAAAACGCGAGTATGTACGCAGACCCGTCCAAACAAGCAAACAAGCGGTGCAACATCAGCGCGTAACATTCCTTTGATGCGACGGCAGAAAACCGACAACCGATGGGACGCCTCGATGTTGCGGTGTTGCGCTGTTACGCTGTTACGCAGTGCGGTCTAGACTTGATACGCGACGGTGTTACGATACGATGTTTTGTTGCATGTCTGGACGCACCTTAATACCACCTTACCTTAGGTTAAAGCAACACTTGTTTTTCATTAGGAAAGTTTCCTTGGCTACTGTATCAACTTGTGCTGTAGATAAAATGAGTTCATTATTATTTCCAACTTCTATAGCTGGCAAGTCTGCTAATCCTTGTACACAAAAAGAGATCGGTTTACTCTCTTGGCCATTTATTATTAGATTCCAGACTTCCATGAGGGGCTTAGGCTTTTTGCTAGCTCGGAATCTGGCAGAGATTATGACAAATGTTTTTATAATTCCCGTCATTGGTTTCATGGTGATACGGCTAAAATATTTATTGAAGGAAGATACATAAAAATCTATGGACTCTGTTTTTACTGGATGGAAATTCATGTAAGATATATGAACATAAAAAATATTGTTTTTAATTGTCATACGTTATTAACATGTTCTAATTATATCTAGAAGATAATTGGAGTGTCAGAGACCGACATGTTCAAATTGTGGCATCTATTTTTAAAAAGACGTTTACCATCATTTTTATTTAGTATATAGTTACGACAAGTAGTCAATCGTATGAGTTTCTACAAGCCGGTCTTGACGGGGTAAACCTTTTCTCGAAGCGTGTTCTTCTTTGAATGATCAAGAGTAATCCAGCTTTTAGTGGCCATTTTTTTTTAAATCAGTCGTTAAATAAAATATGTTAGAAATATAATGCTCTCATATTATAATAAAAAGATATTGTTTTTTATCAAATTAATTTTTTTTTCAAATTTTAACAAGAAGAAATTTAGAAAAAAATGATACTTAACAAGTTTTTATGCGTCTTCGTTAAGGAAATACAAATCTGTTAAGAAACTATAAAGACACTTAACAAGTTATTAATCACTGGTATCTATCTATATATATCTAATTAGCCTTCTTCGGCCTATCTTTGGACATAGGCCTCCCCAATCCTTTTCCATTCTTCCCTGTCTGTCGCTACAGTCACCCACCTAGAGCCCGCGTGCTTCTTGATATCATCTGCCCATCTCATTTGTGGCATTCCTCTGCTTCCTCTGCTGGGGTTTCACTGGGTCAAGTTAGCATAACATTGTTTAGTTTAAGATAACTTTATTTAAGCAAATTTATAAGAAAACAATAGATGAAAAGAATTTAAACAACAAATGAACATAAATAAGTTTAAACTGTTTGGGATTTCAGTGAATAGTAGAAAGAGTGATGTACTTGTGGAATCTACTGGAGGCATGACATCACATGGCCTAGTTTTGACTTTTGTTTCTATGAGCAACGCTTCTGGATACTTTCGAGTCAAGTTTCTATTAAAATCTTCTTCTAGTAAGAGACTAGGTCTACCAGTTTTTCTTTTAAGACAAATGGATTGTGGAATTCCATTGTATGTGTCATAAAAATGTATGACACAAGGATTATTAATAATAAACTTCAGGTTCACGGAGTTGCTTATTCCAAAATTCGATTTACTGAAATTTTTTCTTAATTCAGAAAAATTTTAAAAATCTTGTCGCTTCAGAGGCGTTATGGCCTTTTCTTTTTGGCTCCTTTCAGAACTTCTTTCCATTCACTAGGAGAGTACATTGCATTCTTAGTTTTTGCGAATTTTTCCACTAATGCAAAAGCTCCATTACTAGGTAGCATAGTGTGTCCTACTTGTGGAAAAACATGAATTATTTATTTAAACCTTTTAGATGCCAGGAGTTAACTCCGCCATTGCCTGGTCCCAAGTACAGGATGAGAAAGGAGGAGGGTTAAGCAAGGGACTAACTATTCCTTCTTGTAAAAAAACATAGTTATGAAAACGAAGCACATGCCTCGGATAAGGACGGATCTTTTAAGACGACAAAAGCGACGACAAAGGACGATGAATATAGGAACCTGGAACGTACTAAGCCTATATCGGCCTGGAGCCCTAACTCAGGTGGTCAAAGAACTTGAATCCAGAAACATGGACATAACTGCTCTACAAGAGATTAGATGGACTGGAGAAGGTACACTAAAAACTAATAAATCAGTAGTATTTTTCAGCGGAAGCGAACGAGAACATCAATTCGGAACTGGTTTTATAGTCAGGGAAAGTCTTGTGGGGTCAGTTTTAACTTTCAAACCCGTTAATGAAAGACTTTGTTATATCAGAATCAAAGGACAACTACATAACTATTCCCTAGTTGCTGCCCATGCACCGACAGAGGAAAAGGAAGAGCATGTAAAAGATAACTTCTACGAGAAACTAGAGGAACTGATAAATAATTTACCTAAATAGGACATGCATATTATCTTAGGAGATTTCAATGCAAAGATTGGGAAGGAAGCAGCGTACAAACCAACAATAGGTAACCATAGTCTTCACGATGTTAGCAGCGATAATGGAACAAGGCTAATAGACTTTGCAGCATCCCACAATCTACTAATAAAATCGACAATGTTTGAACACAAGAATATACACAAACAAACATGGGTTTCCAACGACGGCGTCACAAGAAATCAGATTGATCATGTTCTAGTAGATGCCAGGAGGGGTAGTAACTGTCTAGACGTAAGAAGCCTAAGAGGAGCTGATGGAGACACGGATCATTTTCTTGTAAAAGCGAAGATAAGGACAAGAATAGCGTCCAAAAAAACACACAAGAATACACCAACACAATTATGGAATACCGAAGTTCTACGTAATAAGGAGACAGAACAGAAATTTCAAAAGGCTATAAAAATCGCTCTAGCACAGACAGAAAACTATAACAACATAGACTCAGCTTGGAAAAATATCAAAGTAGCTCTGACAAGCGTATCAGATGAAATACTAGGACACAAAAAGAAAACAACAAAAAAATGTTTCGATGATGATTGCCTGAACTCCATATTAGCAAGAAATATGGCTAGAAGGAACATGCTACAAAGCCCCTCGCACAACAACAATGAAATGTATAGACAAAGAAGAACAGAGACAAGAAAACTAATGAAAAGGAAGAAGAGAGAGTATCAGGAACAAATAATCAGAGACATAGAAGAAAAAAGAAAGAACAAACAAGCGAGGCAGTTCTTTAAAGGAGTTTCAGATATCAAGACCGGGTACCAAGCAAGAACAGGAAACTTTCTTCAAAACGACAGTGGACAGCTTATCACTGATGACAAGGAAATCTTAAAAACCTGGAAGGAATACTTCTATCAACTATTGAATGACCAATCTAGCAGAAGTACATCAAACATAGAGGTACATACAGCTGAAATAGAAGACCAATACCCAACATACGAAGAAGTAATACAGGCAATTAAAAAACTCAAAAATAATAAGACACCAGGTAGCGATGGTATACCCGCAGAGTGCTTAAAACATGGAGGAGAAGCATTGTACAGTTCGATATACAAGCTAATTCAAGACATTTGGCAAGAAGAAACAATGCCAGATGAATGGAAAGAAGGGGTTATTGTACCAATACACAAAAAAGGAAACAAAAAGCAATGTATTAACTACAGGGGAATAACACTCCTAACCACCACCTACAAAATCCTTGCAAACATCCTGCTAGAAAGAACCAAAACATACACAGAAGAAATTGTTGGAGATTATCAATGCGGATTTAGACCGGGCCGCTCTACAATTGACCAGATATTCACAATAAAACAGATAATGGAAAAATGGACAATGGATAACAGGAGTTTGATCGTGAGCTTCATCAGATGTTTATAGATTTTAAACAAGCATTTGATAGAGTATGTAGGGACAGACTGTGGACAGCGATGCAGGAACTTGGCTTTCCAAAAAAACTAGTCCGGTTGATACGGATGTGTATGGAACGGTTACAATGTAAGGTGAGAGTTGGACAACAATACTCGGAGACATTTGAAATAAACAATGGACTAAAACAGGGAGATGCACTTTCACCACAACTCTTCAACTTAGCTCTGGAGCACATAATCAGAAGTGCAAGAATCGAAAAACCGAATACAGTATTTCATCGAGAAGGACCAAACTTACTACTGGCATTTGCAGACGATATAGATCTAATAGGAAACACGCGATTAAGGATGAAGGAGACTTTCGTAAGGTTTGAGAAGGAAGCAGAGAAGATGGGGCTCCAAATCAACGAAAACAAGACGAAATATATGTATATGAGCCGCAATAACCAAAGCAGAGACAGAATCGGTCAGAACATTACCATCGATGACTTTAACTTTGAGCGCGTTAGGGAATTCAAGTATCTTGGAACAACAATAACTGAAGACAATAACGGATCACAAGAAATAAACAACAGGATTCAGGCCGGCAACAGATGTATTTTTGCCCTCCAAAACCTTATAAAATCAAAACAACTAACACGACGTACGAAGATACAGGTCTATAAAACAATCATACGACCCGTTGTGATGTATGGAAGCGAAACGTGGACGATGACAAAGGCAAATGAAGAGAGACTACGTGTTTGGGAAAGAAAAATCCTAAGAAAGATCTTTGGTCCGGTGCTTGATGAAGCATCAGGACAATATAGGATAAGAACTAATAAAGAGCTTGAAGGACTTTACCCAGACGCCAACATCATAAAAGAAATAAAGTCCAGAAGACTCCAATGGGCAGGACACCTCAGAAGACATTCTGACGAACAAACAGTAAGACTGGTGTGGCAGGAAGTCCCAACTGGAAGGAGACCACGCGGACGCCCTCGTCTCCGGTGGCGAGATAATATAGCAGGAGACCTAAGCACTATGGGCGTGGAGAATTGGATGGAGGTTGCTCAAGACAGAAAACAGTGGAGGCATGTTGTCGAGTCGGCTAAAACCCACGAAGGGTTGTAACGCCACGGAGTAAGTAAGTAAGTAAGTAAGATGCCAGGAGTTGTAGCCAAAATCCTACGATAGTCCAATTCTTCTTTTGACCATAGCAATTATCAGAGACAGCATAAAGTATGTCACCACAGACATCAAACTTATCAAAATATATCTTTAAGCAACTAGCAATTTCATCGGATCTTTGTTTAGCAATGGATTCGTCCCAAAGGAAAAAGTAGCCATCTTCTGGCTTGTTGCAGCAATGGACACTAAATATATAACACCAAAGTCTTTTTTTTTTATAAAAACATGAACCGGTGGTTAATTTAGGTGTAAGAAGAGCTTGTTGCAGATCAAACGTTATCACATCTACGTCATTTCCCTTAGACTCTTCCACTGCTTTTTCAGGAACGTCTCTTGCAGCTTTTGCTTTTCTTAAGTGTACCTCTTTAGAAGTTTCTAGTTCGTTAAGTTTTTCATTATCACCAATTTCTTTAGAATGGTTTATATTAATTTGGAATTCATCGCACTTTGGACAACTGTCAGATT